GAGAGTACAACATAACTTTTTTGGGAGTGTAGCAGGGCTACCAAATTAGCTCTGTTTGCAGAAAAACTACAAATGAAAAAATAGAAAGACTGAGATTTTGATATGACCTGTAGAAGAGGTAAGGAACATGGATGCCCTGCCTTGGTGACCAGGGAAGTCTCCCCTGCGACTTATGGGAAGCCAGTAAGGCTTACATCTAGTCATTGACGCTCAAGGTTTGCTTGGCAAAGAGATATTCTGCCTTGCTAAGTTCGGGCCCCATACTTTGATGGATTTCACTTGTACATTCAGGAAACTAGGCTCGTTTTTGTCAATGACGACTCCGTGCAGCACCGACTCGCTTTCACACATTGCTTTCGGCTGGCACTTCCCATGGTCTATCTGGTTTCTTGATATCCTGAAGGACATTGCAGCTCTTGGTTTTGCTACTTCATAACTCTCTCAGCATGTTTCTTTTCCTCATGAGATGAGTGTAATGAAAATGTTTGGTGAAGTTCTTCAAAGTGACACTCTGGGTGGAAGTAGCAAGACAGGTAGAAATAGGAGGGGGAGAGCGCCAGGAGCCCGGGTGGTAGTTCTGGTTCTTTTGCAGGGGACACAGTCCACTCAGAGCTGTGAGGAGGAGACTCGGAATGACCGGCCCAGCAGTTCAAAGAGTTTTGCAAAAGCATCCTTAGCCCCCACTAGACTTTCAGGTTAAACTTGGGAGACTGGAAACACTGTGCTAAAATACTACATCAAATGATGGATGGGTTGAGCATGTGAAGAGAATTCACTAACTGGGGAAAACAGCCTGGTTTATATTGGGGGTTGAAGAGGAAGGATCTTGCCTGCTCTGTACTGAAAAGAAAGCAGAGAGCTGGGTGCTTTAGAATTTAATATTGATTTGACAATATGAATCTTCAGACAGGATGGGGGTAGGTAACTTCTTTAAGCTTCAGTTACTTCAATTATAAACGTGTGAAAGATGTTTACTTTCTAGGGTTGTTGGGAAAGTTAAAGTGAAATATAGACACTGAAATTAATTATCTCATAGTAGGTTCTTAATTCCTTTTGTGTTACATCTTTCCTGTTAAACATTTTCATGGCTGTTAGGTAAGGAAAGCATTTTGACTAATGGTTTACTTGTCACCCAAATTTCTTCCCTTCTCAAGCAATATGGAATTCTGTATTCCCTCCATTGATCAGATTTTCCCTTTGAGAGAATATTGGAAAATATTTGAAATCTTCATGCTATTTTGAAGATCTCCCCTCCCCCCAAATCCCCATATTTTGAGGCCATATAAATACTCATCAATTTGTCCCAGCATTTGATTGTTCCTACAGTAACAGGCGAGATCACTTTATAGCCCACATACAGCACTTTGGCCAATCTTACTTGATCCCTCGTTCAATCTCTGGTATAATTTACCATGAACGATATAGAGTATATATTATATTTCACACTAGGAATTATGTTCACAGGTATACAGTTTATAAATACTTAAAAAACTCAAAATGTACTATCTTTAACTTTTAATTTCCTCACCACCAATTCCTTGAGATTTAAAATGAAACTTTATTATGGAAAATTTCACATATTTACAAAAATGGAGAATATCAATAGTTTAATAAAACCCATGCTCTCATCTCCCAGCTTTAATAATTATCAACTCATGACTCATTTAATCTATATAGTGGATTATTTTGAAATATACATGTCATAATTTCAGTATCTATAAAAGATGTGGGCAGTTTTAAATTTCAGAATCTGTATTGCCTGTATTCTCTGCAGCATTGACTAGAATGCTGCTATACCTTTGAGTTAGTTAAAATTTAACAAAACCTTTTTTTTAAAGACTGTTTTTTTTAAGATTTATTTTTATTTATTTATACAAGCACTGGGTACAGTCAGAAGCTCTGGAGGGTGAGAGAATTCACCAGAGCCAGAGCGGGGAGCAGAGCAGGCAGACTGATGAAACACTGCTGAGGGGAGCAGCGGGCGGCAGGAGAGGTCTGCGCGCCATGTGGGACCCTCCTCAGGTTGGCAGTTTCGCAACCCAGCGCTCAACCGCTGAGCCACCGGGGAGGCCCAGTTTAACAAAAACTTTTAAGGCAAGTTGTTTTTCTTTCCTGACCTATTGGCTATAGTGTCTATGGTGCATGCAAATATTTTTTAAAACAAGAGTTTTCAATTGCAAGTGATTTTTTTTAATAAGCAGCATCTTTAAGAAACATATTCCTCAGTCTACTTTGTTACATTTTTCTGTAAGTAATACATGAATTCTTACTGGGAAAAGCTAAACAGCACAGAAATACATATTGTGTCTTCTTTTTAAAGCATCAGTGAGACGAGACTGTGTGTACTGTGATGCAGCACACTCCCCTTTGTTCATACCACACTGCTTTCCAGTCTTACTTGCTCCAGTCGTTTCCCATACTGCAGCTATTTTTAAAAATGTAAATCAGATAGTTTCCTACTAAAACCCATCCTAATGACGTCCCTCTTCACTTAGAATAAAATCTAAATTTCTCACCTAGCTCAAGGCCCAGCATCATCTATCCATATCTTGCCTACACCTTCTCAAAAAACTGGAGCCTCCTTCACGTCCTACCCAGGATCTTTGCATTTGGCTTGTACTCCTTCCCTGGTCATTTTTTGACTTGCTGGAGGCTTCTTGTCTTGCCTCCCTCCCGTTGTTATTCAAGTTTTTTTTAACCTAAGTTAATTTTCTGAAGGGCTTATTTGATGCATTTGTCTACATCAAGTACTAGACCTCCATTCTTGAGGCAAAATAACCTGCCTTAAACGGTTAGCCTTAGGGTGCTCCAGGACTGATCTTGGTGTTTTTTCCTCCACTGCACCCCACTGCTGGCGCAGTCTGTGCGTCCATGCTTGGTCTGTTTTTATGGATAGTGCATCCTTTGAGTCTGTGAGAACAGCAGTGGCATTCATGTTTAGGTTTTTTTCTGTTTGCTCCACTAATTATGTTCCTTTAGGGTCTATTTGGTGTTAGTTTCTTAAGGATTGATTTTATGATCATCTTTGTATTTCAGAAATGTTCAGGGCCAGCCTTTCAGTGCTGCCGGTGGAGAAGGCCAACTGCCTGCCTGGAGGCTGCGAAGTTCCAGGGCTCCTTTCTGTGCTTGTTATAGGCATTTGGAGCATTCAAAGAACTGAAGTCACCTCCCTGGCATACCTCCTCTGGGAGGGTGTCAGTGTGTGCTTTTGGCCACCAGTCTAAATTCTAAAATTTGTATATTTGATGGTTATTCTTTAAACTTTTTTTCCCAGCAAGGTTATACATTTATATCTGAAGACGTCATTTCTAGAATTTGAACATATTGGGAGGTGGCCTCATATGCTCAGTTGGCTGTCTTGATTTTGTCCCGAGGTCCACTTTCTTCAAAACACTTTTTTTAAATGTAGCATGCAATTATTCTTTCTCTTCATGGAAGGAATTTAAATTTTAAAAAATTTTGATTTTGGAAAATCTTAAAAATATACCAAAATAGAGTAGTATCACGAACCATTATATCTTATCCCCCATCTTCAAAAATTATTACATAGAGCCAATTTTGCCTCATTTATGCTTTCCTCTACCCCTCCAAGATTATTTTGAGATCAATTGCATTCTTCATATTATACATTCTGTAAATATTTTAGTATGTGGCAAAGATTCCAATATCATATTAGAAGACAGACTGTCTATCCAGAGTCAGTGATGGGAAGCTGCTGGCTAGGGAGTGCTCAGACATGAAGAGCGTTTAGCTCATTTGCTTTTATGGAAGAGACTGCTCTATTTACTCACCTCTGTTATGGCCAGAGTTTTTTACACATAGAGTATATTCAGGAACTTGTTAAATGAAACACATTCCACAATCTTCATTAGAAAAAACAGGTTATATTTTTAGGTATGGGATGGAATTGGCTGCGACTACAGGTAATCCTCACTATCTGAATACATACCATTTCTAAACAGGTATTGCATCGTGGATTTTCACAGGACAGGAGCCTCTATCTTCATTTTGAGTGAGAAAAGTGAGAGTACTTTTCCTGTCCATTGAACCCCTCAAACTTATTTCCCCAAATGTTACCCATATGTTCCGAAGTAGTCTAGATGTTTTCACAATGTTGCCCAAAACAAACAGGGTGCTACTGGAACCCTAAGGCAACATTAAGGTTTCCTCCTACCCTCCTTTTCTTTTTCCCTTCCTTCCTTGTATGGTGGGTCCAACAGGCAGACAAGGTAGCACTACACAGAAAATGAAGATCAGGAATACTGAAAATTGACAAAACTTTGTTAAACAGCAAGATAAAGTGAAATTCATTCAGAGTTTTGCAATATTAGTTGAAATAAGGAATGCATTTGCTTTTGATGACTCAGATGACAGGCAGTCACTCAACTGGTCATTCTGGCAGGCCCCTGCTCTCTCTTCATTTGACCTCCCTGTCCAGACAGCGGCTGAAGTCATGTGCATGTATGGTCTCCTACTTTTCTTTATATCTCTAAGCAGTCTCTTCCCTCTGTGTCTACTCTTTTTTTTTTTTTTTTTTAAAGATGTATTTATACAAGCACTGGGTAGTCAGAAGCACGGGAGGGTGAGAGAATTCACCAGAGCCAGAGTGGGGAGCAGAACAGGCAGACTGACGAAGTACACTGCTGAGGGGAGCAGCGGGCGCGGCAGGTGAGGTCTGCGCGCCATGTGGGACCCTCCTCGCTGGGTGGCCAGGGATCGAGCTGGTGCTGCAGAGGCTGCAGGCAGCCTTGAAGCCTAGCGCTCCACTGCTGCACCACCAGAGAGGCCCCGTTTCTAATATGCCACAATCAAGTCACCATCTTGTAGAAGATTCTTTATTAGTTTTACTTATCCCTTCTCTAGGTCACTTTTCAGCTTTTGTTACTTTTCCCATCTGAATAAATGACTGCGGGAGATGACTATATTTTTAACATTTTATTCTTTAGAATTAAATCTTGGTTCATAGAAAGCTAACCTCTTTTTTCCCCATTTGTTTCTAGGTGCTGAATGTGGAGTAAATGCAGATGTTGAGAAACATCTTGAGTTGGGCAAGAAATTACTTGCAGCTGGACAGCTTGCTGATGCTTTATCCCAGTTTCATGCTGCTGTAGGTTTGTATCTTGGAACCAAACCACTCAGGTCATGTTAGTGAATTCTAATTAGCAGCTTTTTTTTCTGGACAACATTTAAGATGAACAATAATTGGTTAAACAAAACTTTAAAAAATACAGGATTCTGGGTGAAATAGATTAATAGAAGTATAACACTTGCATGTATATGTATCTAACCTAAGAGAACTTTCCAGGTAATTGAGACTTAGGTGTCAGGAATAGTTCAAGTTAATTTTGGCAGAAAAAATTTTCTCAATGTTACATAGTTTTCTGTCTTTTTAAAACAAATTTCATACTCAATGACTTGAGATCCTCGGCACAGTGGTCACTTACTTTGAGGCCTTGTGGGACGCCCTGCAGTCATTGCCTCTTCAGTGTTGGTCCAACTTCTGCTGCTATTTCTTGGTCTGTTTGTGCAGTGACTGTCTTTGCAGTTTTTAATCTGTTAGGACTATGAGAAAGGAGAAGACCATAATAAATAGGTTCTAGAGTGAGGACTTTAGGGGTTTTCTTATGTGTCCCTGCAACATATATTATCTTAAAAATGATCTTGACCTATATGTAGGTCAAGATTTTATATTTATAGTTATATATAGTATATATATTATTTAACTCCTTCCACCTTGTAGGTGCTGAGCAGAGTGGTATTAGCTCAGAAGCCTAACTCATCCATTTGCTCTGTGCAAATCCCACTGACTTCTCTAGTCTAACTGTATTTTCTTCCTTTGTACTATGGTCTATACCTTTATTTCTTCACTGCTTTTTTAGTTGGATTTTTCTAAGGAGCAGAGATGCACATTAAATATATCAGTTTAACTGGAAATCTGTAATTTTCTAAAATCTTTTGCATAAGTTCATAATCTACTTCCTAAATCCATATTCTCACTTAAGAAAATTTAGCAAAGACTGAATTGCATATTTATGAAAGTTATGAGTTGAATACGGTTAATGTTCTAGAACAAAGGCTGGCAAACTTTTATTCTAAAAGATGAGATAATAAATATTTTTGTTTTTCGATAACCTTGAGAGCTAATATTTGTTATTTTAATTTTCAGATGGTGACCCTGAAAACTATATTGCTTATTATCGGAGAGCTACTGTCTTTTTAGCTATGGGCAAATCAAAAGCAGCACTTCCTGATTTAACTAAAGTGATTGAATTGAAGATGGATTTTACTGCAGTAAGTGCATGTAAACTTTCTTTAAAAGAGAATTGAAGGGAATCTTGAAGAACTAATTTGTTTCTAAAGGTGAGGCCTGGCCTACTATGCCACGCATCATTAGTGAGAAGATGTAGAAAGCTACTATAATAGGAAACAGGAGAATTTCAAAGTCCCTGGAACCAAAGATCTCTGTAAAAGAGGAGCAGTGGAAACACTCAGTGATTTTTGAAGTATGGCAGTAATGTTAGCTTTGTGCTTTGGAAAGACAAGTCTGTGAGGAGGCTGGAGTGTAGGGCGAGATGTGAGGCTAAAACGTGACTTTATTAAGGGGCTGACAGGTACTGATGACAGTTTTAATTAAGGCTATAGCAGGAAGAATAAATAAGAGGGGATGGCTCAGTGGTTTGTGGTGAGGATATAGTGTTGAATAGCGTTCTCCCTGGGAGCCACTACACAAGCTTCAGAAGTGGACGAGTTGGCAGGTGACTGTAATGGCTTACATTAATAGGACATTGTTATTCTGATTACAGTGGAGTATATATTTACAAAGCTATTTTCAGAACTTTGGTAAAGTCTCAACTGAAACTACCTTTGCTGTAGTAAAAATTAATTTGATTTATATTTCACATACTATCAGACTACCCTTTTTAAAAATGTGTAATTGAGTGGTTTTTAGTCTATTTAGTATATTTACATGGTTATGTAGCAAAAAGTCTTTAAGGAGGCATGCTTTAACAAAACTTACACACATTTGGGGGCTCCCTGGTGGCACAGGGGTTAAAGTCTCAGCGCTTTTAAATTAGCACCAGCCAACTATGGCATGAGTTAGATCCCTAGCCAGGTAGCTGACCCACATGGTGCAGCAGACCTCTCCTATCACGGTGTATTTCAGTAGGCCCACTTGTTTTGTTCTCCACTCTGTTTCTGATTGAATCCTCTCATATACACACACCCCCACCACCTCTGGCTTATATCCCATCCCAGTTCTTATATGCATAAATAAATAAAATCTTTAAAAAAAAAACTTATAGGGCCTCCCCGGTGGCGCAGCAGTTGAGCGCTGGGTTGCAAAGCTGCCTGCAGCCTCTGCAGCACCAGTTTGATCCCCGGCCACTGGGTGAGGGTCCCACATGGCACGCAGACCTCTCCTGCCACCCGCTGCTCCCCTCAGCAGTATATTTCGTCAGTCTGTCTGTACTGCTCCCTGCTCTGGCGAATTCTCACCTTCCAGCGCTTCTGACTGTACCCAGTGCTTGTATAAATAAATAAATCAATCCTTTAAAAAAAAAAAATAAAACTTACAAATTCACTGGTTCTAGAATTTTATCACAGTGCCAAGTGAAATGGATAGTGAAAGAATACTTAATTAATATTTCATTAGTCAATTTAGTTTTATTCTTTGTTTAGAAAAGTTAGAGATGTATTATGGTACTCAAACATCTTTTTTTTCCCTTCTTCTAGGCGAGATTACAGAGAGGTCACCTGTTGCTCAAACAAGGAAAACTTGATGAAGCAGAAGATGATTTTAAAAAAGTGGTAAATTAAGTTCAATTTATTTTTGTCCTTATAAAGATGTTAGACATGGCACCAAAAGCATCATCAATAGAAGGAAAAAGAAAGTAAGTTAGACATCATCAAAATTGAAAGTTTTGCTCTGTGAAAGACTCTATGAATAGGATCAAAAAACAAACCACATAATGGGGGGAAAAATACTACAACTAGATTTTGGTTCCTTTAAATTCAGATTGCTCTGGAAAATGGTTTGGAGGAAGACAAGGGTGGAAGCAGTCTGCTAATGAAGCTGTTGTATATGTTGTGTGCTGTGATTCAAATATTCTGGTTTTCTTTGAATCAGATAAAAGTAAGAGCAGTGCTTTCCTTACCTTGTCCTCCACTTTCATGTTCCCAGATATATTTGCTTCCTGGTAAGCTTTGGGGAACCCCAGGTCTTTTGACTGTAGTTCCTCTGCTCTCTTGGTGGAAATAAAGGTGCCTTTCTTGACCAGCCAGACTTGCCTGTGTCTCCTCACCCTTTTCCCTCTCGTGAACTTGAGTATCTGGAATGGTCAGAAAATTGTGTATATTGAGTATCAGACATAAGAGGTTAAAACTCTGTTTAATTTAAATTATTTTTATAGCTCAAATCTAATCCAAGTGAAAATGAAGAAAAGGAAGCCCAGATCCAACTTACCAAATCTGATGAAATGCAGCGTTTGCGTTCACAGGCATTTGATGCTTTTGAAAACGCTGACTACATTGCTGCTATAACCTTCCTTGATAAGATTTTAGAGGTAAGTTTCTTAGATACTGTAATGGACAAACTTAGCACTACTTTCTATTCTAAGGCATGTTTATACACTTTGACATGTTCTATACCACAAAAAACCTGGGTAGGATAAAATCAGATTGGTGTGTAGACATTCAGCTCCTAAGTGGAAGGTGATGTTTCTGTAGAACAAAGTTTGAAAAAGGATTTTCAGTAAATGTACTGAATATGCTGTGGAAGGGGCGGGTCATGGTTTTTTTTTTAATTTTTTAATTTATTTTTTAAAGATTTATTTATTTATTCATACAAGCACTGGGTACAGTCAGAAGCACGGGAGGGTGAGAGAATTCACCAGAGCCGAGGTCTGCGCACCATGTGGGACCCTCTCCCAGCAGCCAGGGATCGAACTGGTGCTGCTGAGGCTGCGCGCAGCTTCGCAGCCCAGCGTTCAACCACTGCGCCACCAGGGGAGTCCCCGGGTCATGTATTTTTATTCATTGCTTACTTTGCTATTTTTGTTTGATTTTTTTACATCTTGGTGGGAACAAAACTCTAGAGGTTAGATAATGGGGCAAAAGATAGAAGTTTGGCTGAAGAAAAAGGAAAAATAATGTTTTGGAAGGAGGAGGAATGTATAGAGTGAGGTGCTTCTAGGGAAAAAGACAAGTGAAGAATTGTTAAGGTCCAGAGGTCTCTGGACAGGGAAACCTAAATCCAGAGTTTTCTGTGTCTGAAGGACTTAATAACAAATGGTTTTGGAAGGAAGTCTTCTCTAATAAAATGGAAGCAATCACAGTTCAAATTTATTATCATTTCAGAGCATTCTGATATTTAGTTTCATTTAATCTTGGCAATAAACTTATGATAAATGTCAACTGGGCACTACTTTTATAATTTTATAAAGAAAATTACAGAATTCATGTTTTTACTAAATTACTATTTGCTAATGCTTTAATGAGGAAATATAAAGTTATAATTTTCAGCTTCTAGTAGTAGGTGTGTTTTGATCTGGCTTACTGTCCATGATACTTAATTTACATAGCACAGTGTTGATTTTGATATGTTGATATATGTGAACAGTTTAGGTAACTTACAGATCAGCTCTAAGAAACAGGTAAAGATACTTCCACAAGCCTTACTGGTTAACTTTTGCATTTTAATTTTGAAGACTATAAAAAAGTGGTACTATTTTTGTTAAAATAGAAATCGCAACCTCTTACTATTTGTGATATGATTTCACATCACAAAAAAGTGACATTTTACATTTAGTTATAGAATTTGTGGATTTAGAACTTAGATTTTTTTTTTTAAATAAATCTTTTTTTTTTTTAAAGATTTATTTATTTATTTATACAAGCATTGGGTATAGTCAGAAGCGCGGGAGGGTGAGAGAATTCACCAGAGCCAGAGCGGGGAGCAGAGCAGGCAGAAGGACCGAAGTACACTGCTGAGGGGAACAGCGGGCGGCAGAAGAGGTTTGCGAGCCATGTGGGACCCTCACCCGGTGGCCGGGGATTGAACCGGCGCTGCAGAGGCTGCGGGCAGCTTCACAACCCAGCGCTCAACTGCTGCGCCACTGGGGAGGCCCTAGATTTTTTTTTTTGAGACTACAGAATTGTTGATTAACAAATATGACTAGAATATTCTCTTCGAAATCAAATGTACTTTACTGAAAACTAATAATAAATAATAATAAATCCTTGTTTTCTTATGTTCAGAGTTTTAGAGTTCATAATTAAAGGTGCTAGGAAAAAGGCCTTGTTAATATAGCAATCCCTTCTCCCACTGCAATTTATTTCAGATATCCTTGGAGAAATTATTTTGTCACATCTGAACTGTATCGGATTTCAAAGTACTATTTACAATATAGAATTTATCACATCAGTTGGTGTTTCATATATATATAGAGATAAATTACATGGGCGCTAAGCATGAAAATGCATAATTTCCTGTTTCCTGAAGTCCAGTTCTTTTGTTCCTCAAGGTTTGTGTTTGGGATGCAGAACTACGGGAACTTCGAGCTGAATGTTTTATAAAGGAAGGGGAACCTCGGAAAGCAATAAGTGACTTAAAAGCTGCATCCAAATTGAAGAATGATAATACTGAGGCTTTTTATAAAATTAGCACACTGTACTATCAACTAGGAGACCATGAGCTGTCCCTCAGGTCAGTTCTAGTGATAGATACATCTCACCATCTTTTTATCGTTCACAGTAAGATAATCCCATTCTCTTTATAAATTAGTAAAATTTATGGTTAAGGCTGTTTTTATATTCTATATCCACCTATATATTTGTATTATTCCTAAATTCTACTTCTGCATAGTTTATGAAATTTGCTTATTAAAATAAAAAGGAGGCCTGTTTGCAGAAGTAAACACTATTTGTCATTTTAATTTGAATTAAATGTGTGCATGGTGTAATGCTGTATGTAAAAGTGTATGGTAAATTATGATGTCAGTATGCTTGTTGCAAACAAAAATTACCTTTATTGCCACTTCTGTATTTAGTATGAAAAGCCATTCAGTGATTATTTTGACTTGGCGTTTTTCTTCTTTCTAAATACATGAGCAGTGAGGTTCGTGAATGTCTTAAACTTGATCAGGATCACAAAAGGTGTTTTGCACATTATAAACAAGTGAAGAAACTTAATAAGCTGATTGAGTCAGCTGAAGAGCTCATCAGAGATGGCAGGTAAGAAAAGTACACATTAGCATTTTTGAATTTTTCATTTCTATTTGGTTATTCTTTCATATCTTCTATTTCTTTGCTTCTGTTTCATTTCTTTGCTTTGCTTTAAAAGCATGTTTTCATTGCTGGTTTTTTCATGACTTTTAAAACTATTTTCGAAATAAATCTTACAGCTCTGTCTTTTTGCTGTTAGAATTTATTGTCTTTCTCATTCACTTTGAGATCTTCCTGTTTCTTGATATGGTGAATGGTTTTAATTAAAACATGCATTTTCATTTTATGTTGTAAAACTCTGTTTCTTTAATCTAAACCTCCTCTCTTGGCTGGCATTTTTCTGACATTGTTCCAGCAAAGCAGGGGTGGGCAGCACCCTGTTACTGCCAGGTGGAGGAAGCAGTTTCCCGCTTGGTTTCACTCTGTGTAGTTTTATTACAGCTATTGTACCCTCTTGGAAAACTATAGAGTAACAGCCCAGCTAACACTTTGACATTGACAGCTTCTGTTTTAAATGTTACATTAAAACGTGTTTTAGTAACCAGCATTTAAATATGAGGATGGCAGCATTTTGAGAATAACTTCCCATGGTGGCATATAAATATTTATCTTTTAGTTTGCCATTACTGAAGAGAGTGGCTAGTTTAAGAAAATGCTAAAATAGCTTTTAGTGTTCTTGCAAAGTTGGTGAAGTTGGAAATGTGAGCAGTTTCCTTCGGCAAAGAACATTGTGCTTGGTTGTGAATACTGAAACATTAGAGAAAACAGCATGTAAATGTACTTCTTATTATATGAAACTGTATAGTGACTTCTTATACATGAAACTGTTTAGTGACCAAGATAAAGAACTTGATTTCTGTTTTGCTGAAAATGTTCTATCTGACATTAAGGTATTTTACTCAGTTTCAAAATTATGAGAATTTTTCTATAAAAATTCATTATTTGGTTTGATTGGTACTCACAAGCATGCCTTGATTTGATTTGTCCATACACATTTTCTACGGTCATGGGTTTTATCGCCTTACGGCTGCGAAGACTGCCTTCTATGCTACTGTAGATTAAAAAGGTAAAAGCAGTGTTTGAAGGCACTACTCATTTACTTGCATTGATCAATACACAGTGACGAGTAGAGGTCCCTTTCTCTAGTTCTGGAAATAGAATTTCATTGTTACTCATCATGATTTGCTCATTTAATAGATACACAGATGCAACCAGCAAATATGAATCTGTCATGAAAACAGAACCAAGTGTTTCTGAATATACAGTCCGTTCAAAAGAAAGGATTTGCCACTGCTTTTCTAAGGTAACAGTTGATTTGATCCCAGAAACGTAAAAGCTTAACATGAAATAACAACCATAAATCCTTTTCTTGCATTTACTTGTAGGACGAGAGGCCTGTTGAAGCTATCCGAGTATGTTCTGAAGTTTTACAGCTGGAACCTGACAATGTGAATGCTCTGAAAGATCGAGCAGAGGCCTATTTAATAGAAGAAATGTATGATGAAGGTAAATCTTTTATGGACTGATGTGCAGTTTCTTAAAATTAATGTATATGAAATTAGTATATGTTTCGTCTAGAACAAAGAGTACCTATAAATATTGACAGTTTTAGAATAATGGCAGAGAATGTGAAAATTTTCTTTGTTAGTGGAACTTGAAAGTTATACCATGTGAGGACAGAGTTCCGCTCTTGAAACCAGTTAAGTGGAATATAAAAATTAAAAATGTTAGCTTTCTTTCTTGGAGACAAATTAGGGAAAATATATGACAAACTAGAAACTTTAAATTATAGCCTCTGTATCACCCAGAGGTAATCACTATTCATTTTGGCTTATTAGTTTTCAAACTTTTGTCTATACATACACATATAAACATGTCTGTTTTATCAATATATGTATATAAACATAATCAGTGCATATTCATAGTATATACAATCCATAATATACATATGTATGTCATGTATGCCTAAATATAAATAATCTTCTGTGTCCCATGAATTGTCCAGTAGCATTAGGAAGGCCGCTTACCTGCCTTTGCTCATGTTGAACTAACAGTTTCCTGCTCAGTGTTATAAGGACCTTGAATAAAGGCAGTGGCTTGTTTTGGGATGATAATGCAGACATACATGGTGATACACATTTTTTGAAAAACAGAAGCTTTTCATATGTATTGCTTTGTGATTTTTTTTTTTTCATTTGACAGTATGCTATAAACATTTAAATGAGATTTTTTTTTTTTTTAAAGAACCTTATTGCAAAGATTTCAAGTCAGGTCAAGCATTTTATATTGAAAACAGCATTTTTCTAGTGAACTTGGTTTGTGGTACTCTTTTCATTTGAATGCTGAGTATTTAAAGAGTGTGCACCTATTAAAATAATATGTATTAAGTTCCAATATCATGCAAAAGCAATCATTGTAAGTAGAAATTGTGGACAAAATTTTAAACACGGTAAGAATGATATGCAAGCAATGATAAAACCTACGTAAAGAAGGTGGTCACCAGTGCACAGATCTTATGGAGCTATCCAGGCCTGAGACCTCATGCATGAGTAATAAAGCTTCTCCTGACCTCACCATTCCTGAAGTACCGCTTGTACTTCCCTGCCTGTGTAAAAGGCTAAAATTTATTTCTGCAACATTTAGACTTTGCTGAAATTTTCATTATATTTAAAATCTAATGGAGTTATTAAATGGGTTATAATTTCAAAAGAACAAACCATTTTTTTCTAGTATGATCTGCCTTTTGAAACATTTCTTTTAAAGAAAATAATTAAGAGATAGGACTCAATAAAAAATAAAAGAAAAAAGAAAGTAAAAAAAAAAAAAAGGTGGTCACTGCACTTAAACTCAAGAGGCTTAAGGTACTCTTTTTCAAGGAAGAAAGGGTTATTTTTTTCCTCCTTTCCCCAATCTGAAAAGAATTTTACTTCTAAGTGGTTTCCTGCGAATGATGACAATTTTGGTTACTACTGATTGTGGGACATTTTTATAGTTGTAATTGAAGTTTTAAATGTTTGCAATCAAAATAATAGGTTTTAATATTCATAAGAATGCTTCAGTAAAACAGGCAATCTATATTGGAAGATGTCTTTAGCATGCTTCTTGTTTGCACTTTTGAGCAACAATGTCTGCTTAGTGAAATGGCTGTGCACGAGGATTTCACATTCCAGTTTGGGACTCTGCAGCAGAGTACTTCTGTCATGTGCGCGTAAACCCTTACCTGTGAAATTTAGAGATGCTGCAGAAAAATATAAAAAGCTTAGTTGTTAAAAAAAAGATTAATCTTGTAGGGTGCTAAATATAATTGAAAAGATTGCTTTATACGTTGAATGTTAAAGTCAATTTTTAGGGAAACTTGACAACTTAATTCTTGAAAATGATGCTTAATACTAATTGATCTGTTTTCAAAATTATTTTTTTCCCTTAACATTTCTTTAAAATAGTTTTTTCTTTGTTTTCTTGTGGGGGGGTACGATACAGATCATATTTTGGGGAATTGTTCAGAATTATGGTTTTACAGGAGTTAAGTTGTTTGAGTCATAGGTATGGAAATTAAATCACCTCATGGAGAGAGAATAGGTGTCTGGGTCTCTAGATTTGGGCACGAAGAATATAAGGAGAAAGCCTGTGTAGTTGAAACTGATAAATGTTACTTTGGATTTGAATCAGAGGTTTAATATGTAAGTGAGTAATAATCTTATTAACTAAGCTAAATAATTATATGTTGAAATCTTGAGTTAAAATTAAGATTTTTCTATATTCTAATTGCTGATTTTGCCTTTTTGAAATCACAAATAACAGCTATGTCAAATGGATTAAATGCACTAGCCACACTCAGATCTAGAGGCTAATTATCCCATATAATACTATTCATACAGAAAAGTCAATGCAATTTAAAATGATGGTAGGTATATAATGAATAAAGAAAAAATAGGTTTACATTAGTGAATAAATGATACATGGAGATTTATTAATTCTAGGTTTATGATAGACTCACCAGGAAAGGTATCAGGGTACTTACTAGGAGTCTTCCTCCTCAAAACCTTCCTTTCAGTTCTGGATAAATACCTAAAAGTGAAATTTGAAATTGCTGGATTAGATGGCAATTCTATTTTTAGTTTTTTTTAGGAATCACCGAGCTGTTTTCCATAGTGACAGCACCATTTTCCATTTCTACCTCTAGTGCACAAGGGTTCCAGTTTCTTCACATCCTTGTCAATACTTGTTATTTTCTATTTTGTCTTGTTTTACTGTCTTTATAAGTTTGGGATCTGAGACCCAGTGCCCAGGGTATTTTGGGGGGGCTGGTCAGAAAGGCACCTTTTGCCAAGCCCATATCAAATTCTAGACTCCTGGAAGGGAAGAAATTCAGGGTAGACCACATTTTTTTCATAGTGAGCCATTTTCATCAAGCAATGTTGGGAATACTCTAGAAAGCCAATTTCCTAGACGCCAGCTCGGGGCAACCTTGCCAGCAGACCTTTCTAGAATAATAATCTCAGGCCTGCTTTTCACATGATATTATTATAGATAACCAGATGAATTGTACTTTCTAAATATTTACAATAACCAGAAATAAAGAAAAAATGTAATGTGGATTGTCATCAGACTTACACAACTGTGTTTTTCTGCTTTGAGTGACGCTTTAATCAGGTTTGTTGTAGTTTGTGTTGAAACCTGGAGGGTGACTTAGTCATTCTGGTTGTTGAGTTTTTCTGCCCCCTTTCTAAGCTTCTGATTGTTCTAAACTGTTGCTCTGTAGCTGACCAAGCAGATTTTCTCTACCACTGTCTGTCTCTTCTGTAACAGCCATTTCTGTCTCAGTGATGGTAAGACTACTTTGTATGAAATGCTGACATTAAAATAGCTCAAAGGCATGGGGAGGACAATGTGGCGAGTTGGCAAGTTAACAAAGAGTAGTGAGTTTTATTGCATGGCAGTAATATAACTACCGACATCGAACCTTAATTATGCATTGTCTAAGTTTGTGAACAAAATTATTAAGGTGTTGTCAACGTCTTTGGCTTCTAGTAGTGGCACAAGAATGGAAGGCCTGGGGATGATGGCTTTTTGTCAATTTTGCAGGATAAGTGAAAATCAACAATTATAATTCCCTTTAACAGCACTGTTTTAAACATATTTTGACAGCTATACAGGATTATGAAACCGCTCAGGAACACAATGAAAATGATCAGCAGATTCGGGAAGGTCTAGAAAAGGCACAAAGACTATTGAAACAGTCCCAGAAACGAGATTACTATAAAATCTTGGGAGTAAAAAGGTGAATTTAAAAATCTGCATTATTTTTAATGAACTCTTAAATTTTTTTGATTCATTTCCTTTATGTATACGTTCAGTCAGATCATTATGTTAAGCATTGTTAAGAGTTTAAAGCAATTTTGAATGTTACAAATTAATGTCCTTTATAGAGACCAAGAATGTGACTGTGGAGAATTAGTAGGGGACAGTGCTGTGACATGTAGCATGAATAGGTCCTAAGCCTAAAAAGGGTAAAGATGTAGGAGTGAGTTTTCTTTTTGGGTAGGAGCGGGGGGAGGGGTGAAAGAAAACTTCTCTAGGCCCGAACATAAAACACTTTAATAAAATTCACTTGCCAACACTGGGTCGTATGATTTACTCAGTATGTCCTTTATATAAGATCTCCTTCCCTCAACAGGGAAATGGTCTTTTAATCGAAAGTCTGAAACATGTTCCTATTCAGCTAATCCAGAAGCAAAATAGATAGGGGGTTCAAAGGGACTCTCTTTTTAATACCAAGAACTGAATTTTGATAACTTGGAAATTCAGGAAATTTAAAAATGGATCTGCGTGATTTTTAGGGGAAAGGTGTACAGAGCAGGCGCACTGTTCCCCCGGTGAGCTGTTGCGTGCACAAGTGTCTAGGACGCCTGAGCAGTTTCACTCACCACCCAGAACTGTGTGTCACATGCTCCTGGGCGTGACACCAGTGGCGCTAGTAGGAAAACTGGTCACTTACTTGCCATGAGGATCTCAATTGGCTCTTGCAGTTTTTTACAGCGGTGTGTTGGATGCTTACAATAACCAATGTTTGTTAATTAATCACTCCTTCAGAAATGCCAAAAAGCAAGAAATCATTAAAGCATATCGAAAATTAGCACTGCAGTGGCACCCAGATAACTTTCAGAATGAAGAAGAAAAGAAAAAAGCTGAGAAAAAGTTTATTGACATAGCAGCTGCTAAAGAAGTCCTCTCTGATCCAGGTATTGTTCGCCTTCCATGTTTCCTGTTCTTTTGAAGTGGCCCAGTGACCAGCGACTGTTGGTCTACTTCTTTGCTTGTCTTAGAGGTACTTGTGGGAGCGGAAGAATGAAGGGGTGGTGGGCAGGCTCTGAGGTTTACCTGGCGGCTGGTCCCGACCTTGCGGTTTCAGAGTTACCTTTACACCCAGCCCTGTGCTCTGTCAGACTCTAGGGTCCTCATGTGTGGGGTGCAATGGAAAGCCCATCAAATGTGGAACCAGAGAGAGTCAATCTTCTATAAATACTTGAATGTTACTAGAACTTTTTGAGCCTCAGATTTTTTTTCATGTGTGATATGAAAACAACAGTGCTGGGGCTCTCTTAGGTTTCTTCCAGCTTCATAGATCAATGACAGATTCTTTAAAATGAAACTTACTAGATTAACTAGGCGGCCAGGCTGCCATGCTGAGGTACAGCAGTGGGAGAAGAGCACATACCTGAGCAGGTGTGTGTGCGCAGTTGTGGCCGGGAAGCGTGTCCTTGAAGACCAGTGGTCATTAGGTTTCCTGGTTTCTATATATGTCCTTTTATCACCTGTTAAAAGGGTCTGGGAGATAAGCTGAGAATTCATGGAATACTGAATAATGCTTTAACATTTTCAGAGGGAATTTAATGTTGTTTTAATACCTATGCTTTTCTTGTGGCTTTCCGTGTCAGGGAGCACAGAAGCTGTGACTTAGCCAGATTTAGCAAATGTAAGAGGTGAAGTTTTATGACCACTTGATCTTTTTTGAACACCTACCTAGGCTGTGAAATTGAAGTTAAATGATTCCTTGTTTGCAAGTAACTTAAAATCCAGGGATGAGGACAGAACTGTACTTGAGTACGTAAGACCTCCTATTTGTTCTTTAGCAAGTATCAGGTACTGGACTGGCTCTGCTCTCCTAGATGGCACAGAGTAGGGGAGGGCAGCAGCATCGGTTCCCCAGCGTTGGGGGACTCTGGAGCTGGGGGTGACAGGGAGCTCACCAAGGGAACTGGGACTGACAGTTACAAAGGCGTGCATCGGAATTATTAGTCTTTTTTTCTTGGTTCCATTTTCTGAGCACTGTTTTTTTTTTTTTTAAATATTTGTTTATACAAGCACTGGGTACAGTCAGAAGCGCAGGAGGGTGAGAGGATTCACCAGAGCCAGAGCGGGGAGCAGAGCAGGCAGAAGGACCGAAGCACACTGCTGAGGGGAGCAGCGGGCGGCAGGAGAGGTCTGCGCGCCATGTGGGACCCTCCTCTGGTGGCCGGGGAGCAGCCGGGGATCGAACCGGCGCTGTAGAAGCTGCGAGTAGCTTCGCAACCCAGTGCTCAACCGCTGCGCCACTGGGGAGACCCTCTGAGCACTGTTCTTATTTTAAGAATGAAATAGCCTTTCTCTTCCCTCTGAGACCATCCGCTTGCTCTCGTTCCTTCTTCTTGCTTGTCTGCATTGGTCTCTCCCATCAGGCTTTTTCTCAGGGGTGACAGGCACAACAGCAGAGGGTCTCTCTCCTCTGGCCCGAGGAGCCTTAATTCACTTAAGATCAGCAGGGAATGGGGCGCTGCCATGCTGTGCAGACACTTGGTGGGTTGTTGAGGCGCCTACCTAGCTGGCTTCGTATGGAGTGGGTTTGCTCAGAAGAGCGTGATGTGTGGAGGCCTCACTCTGGAATTACTTATATTTTTCCAGGGAAGAATTTCTTTGGGTGAGTTTCTTGTGAAGAGAGAAGATTCAGGGAAAGTGAATTCAGTTTGTCAGCTCATTTGTCAGCTCTGAACCATTCTCTGTGACCGGTTTTCTCTGCTCTGTTTTACCTAAGGCCAAACCCTGATTTGGGTGGGAATGGGGACGCCTCGATTTGAGTGTCCAGTGCCACTGTTTTGATAATTGGAAATAGTCTGCCCTCTCCCCTTAGTCAATATCTGTATTTAATTTGCTGGTTTCCTTTTATAGAAATGAGAAAGAAGTTTGATGATGGAGAAGATCCCCTGGATGCAGAGAGCCAACAGGGAGGAGGTGGCAACCCTTTCCACAGAAGCTGGAACTCATGGCAAGGGTTCAATCCCTTCAGTTCAGGCGGACCTTTTAGATTTAAATTCCACTTCAATTAAACCATCTCTTCTGCTCTTCTTTATTTTTCTAAAGATTAAAAACAAAGAAACCTTGTTCCAGGATCCTAATGAAAAAAGTTGAAATTTTCAGTTTGTCCATGACCAAAGAGTTGTTTTCATCGGAAACATCTGTTCTTAATCCATTTTAGACTTGAGGTTGACGGGTTTGCAAGGGCAGGGAGGCAAGGAATGGTTCTATTTCTGACAAAGTAGCCTGTGTCCATCTTGTGAATGCCAGAGGAAGCTGTCAGAGGCAGGCTCAGCTGGGGAAGTGCGCACATACCTTGTGTCTTTCTACACTGACGCATGTAGAAATTCTTCTCTTCTCAGCCACACGTGTCTGCTAGCGCCTGCGTGTGTAAGAAGGAGCTGTCACCTTCGTGAGGCCGGGTGGTTTCGGTATTCTTAAAGATGATGTTAACATTTTGAACTGTGTGTCCTTAGGACAACTTTGCTAAGATTTTGGTCACTCCAGTCACCTGCAAAATAGCTATGAATTCCAGAGCCTCCTTTAACCACGTGCATCCCACTGTCTACGGGCATGAGCCCTGAAGGGAGAGGCAGACCCCACCTTTTAGAAAATCTGCTACCAAAGGTTGTTGGCGTAAACAGGCTGACACTCTGGATTGATGTTAAGCATATAGTTTCAGTTTTTGGTTTTTTTGTTGTTGTTACTTACAAGAGGATACTGAAAATCACTGATAGCAAATTGTAAAAGCCTCTGGGCCTTTTTGCTTAATAAGAAATACAACAAATTAAATAGATAATATTTAAAATGACTTTATCAGTGGTACTATTGCTGAAGTACAGATTTAAATACTTTTTAGCTGATATTGTGAGTTAAGCAAAGTTTCCTGTAACAGGATTGGCTTAGCAAAGACGTTGCTCTGTCAACAGCAAACAGGACACTGTTTCCCACTTTCAGATACCACAGTGGGGCAGCTTCCCTTACATCCAGGCCCCGCCCTCTGGGACTGTAGTGACTCCCACGGGCACCTGTCTGAGGTGGGTGTAGGTAGCAGCCTGCTTCTTCACCAGACCTGTATGTCTCTGGAAGTGCTTCTGCATAGAAAAAAAAAAAAACAGGTTTACAAATCTATCAGCTCTGGGTGTAGCTGGCATCTCCTCTTGAGGTACCTTTTTATCTTCCAAGAAATGAACTATTCAGTCTTTGTATACTGGATAATTTTTTCCCTAAAAGAATGAGTGTTACTTTACTCAAGAACATGAAATCTTTATGGAGATACTGATGCTGCATTTAAAACCTAAGAGAATTACTTTAGATAAGGATTATTACATCTTTTTTTCTGGAAAGATATTTGTTTCTGCCTCAGCAATTTCAAGCATTTAAAGTAGTGTGAGTTTACTGTTTTCACAAAATCAAGAATTTTAATTTTAGCTGTGGGAGGACTCCTCACTACTAATGTCCACAACAGCCAAGCACAAATCATTTTCTTCTAGTCATTCTGAAACATGGAACTTTTTTCCAAACATAGAAAAAAACTTTAACAGATAAAAATCACATAGTTGAGCAAAAACATGTGCTTCTGCATCTGTTTCTTACCAATAAACTTCACAATGCATCTCGAAAATTAAGTGAACAGCTTGTAGCTTTCATTTTGTTTTAATGTCTAAATTTAAGCCATTTTAGTACTCTAGGATAACTATTGAAGCAATGAAATTACTTTTTTCAATCTGGTTCTTTTGTATGATTGTCACTGTGACCTCTTTGAAATCTAGTGATGGCCTCTACCTACTTTGAAAAGTGAGTTTTCACTCAGACTCAAAAAAAAGATGTCCCACCACTTGCCCTGCCATTCTGAGGAGTTCCAACAAAGAGCCGAAGGGAGCTGGGCCGCTGTGTGGGCTGCGGGGAGACGTGTCCTGGGCACCCATCCCCGCACTGCTGCCCAGGCTGCTCTGCGTGCTGTCGTCTCCACTGTAACCACCACACTTTCCCTGAAATCTTGCAGTGGTTTGATTTAGTCACTGCAACTGAAAAATGCCGAGTTCCTGTTTGTTTTCAATGAAAGAGAGGAGAGAAGCAAGGGTGCCAAGTGCCAACACCACTGTCAAAGGAATTCTCTAGAATCTCGTTTTGCCTGTTAATGAAGAAAACAGCCACCGTTAGTTTCCAGTATTGATGACCATCGGCAGTCTTGTGGTTTCCACGTGAATGTACAGATAGTCCCTTGATGCTTTTCATGACAGTGATTGAGAAAAGCTCTGGGTGTGAAGGGCTAAGATATTCATTCCTTCCGCAGGCTTGAGGTAGATTATCCTGCAGTGGAGAGCTGAGGATTGGAAAAGCATGTGGCCTGTCTTTGCACTGCTTCCAAGCTGCAGTCCTGTTTCTGGCGACTGCCGATGCCTGGTAAAACCTCTGTCGCTCTTTCTGGAAGAGTAAAATTTGAGGGGTTCTTAGCCATGTAGTTCTGATTCCTGCCTTCCTTATTGGTGAGCTCCAGAAGTGAAATATTGCTGGCCAGTACCTTGTGAATATTTTCCACATTGGCAAGTATTAAATACATAGCCTATAAAGGTGAAGAAGGTATAAAAGGGGGAGAATAAATTTATTACCCACTTCTGAAAGGTGGTGATTTCTTCCCATGGATAAATGAAAACTTGAAATTTTTCAACTTCAGTAGTTTACTAACATAGATTGGATGTGACCGAATACTAATTTTAAAACATCTTTCTCTTTAGTCAGTATTAAAAGTTTAAATATCAGTATGAAACCAACTTTTGGGGACTCTGATAATGGAAAGTAAAAACTACCCACAGTTCGTTTTAAGAGAAAAATACCACTGATAACCAAGCAGGATAAAAAGCTAGTGGAATCACAACTTTCTATTCATGGTGGAAAATGAAAGTTTCACCTGGAAGGCATGAGACTGGTCAGAAGTTGTACGTGACGGTTACCATGAAAAATTGTGTACGATGTGGTAGGTTTAAGGTACAGGGCTGCAGTGATGCCGTGCAAAAAGTTTCATATAATTCATGCAATTTTGTTGAATGTAGTTGACATTTCTGTGTTCATAAAGGAAGGAGGAAGGCAAATGCTAATTTGTCAACAAATGATATCCTTATTCTAAATCAGATCATTCCTTTTTTTTCATAGCCGAGTTTATTCTGTAATTGATGGGAATAATTTTTTTTTAATGGATGATCTCATTTGCTGAATGATTTAAGAGTAAAACTAGCCACTGAGTGGCTCTGTGTATAGTAACAAGTTTTTTTGCACTCACCTGTGCTTGAACCTCTTACCTGCAGTGGGGAGGGGAGCAGAGCAGAGGAGATGAAATGGAGATGTCTGATAAGGTAAAATTTTGCTCCTACTGTAAAGCTAAAGCTGGTTTTGAATGAGAAGAGACTAAGTAATTTAACCCATCTCAATTTAGCATTTTAATTAAAAAAAGGAACCGAAAATTAATTGAAAAAATGGGTCTTAGACATGTCTACAAATATGGGTACTATTTTTATGCCCATGTATTTTCACATTTAATAAAAATATTTATGGTCAAATCAGTACTTGGTTTTTGATTCATTTTTAGTCTTTTGGAGATGTCCATGTCCCAGCTTTTCTTCATAATCATAATGAGGTGGTTAAGATAAAGCATAAAAGGCAGAGATGGCTGAAACCCTAGTGCCCAAAAATCCTAGACAGCTAAGCTCTTAGAAAGTGGACAGTTTTTCAGTTTCAATACAATTAAAATCTAACACACTGACTCTGATTCTAATAATTTAGACCATAATTCCACTCTTCTATTATGTAGGTAGTGCGGGCGGGGTACACTGCTGCCTGTCTCAATTCAATTTCTCATGAAAGTAGCTTTAGTCTCAGTTATACATTCTACATATCCTAAGGTTAACAGGACTGCCAGAACATAGGATTTTTCCAAAAAGTTTCCAACTTCTTAAGAGTTACGATGTCTGCAGTGGATGAGCAATGAGTAAGAATGAAAATACCTGAAACCGACATGAGGGCTGCCAGGAGAACAAGGAGAAAGGAAACCTCCACATTCTCTTCCCAGAGCCTCAGGAGTTGTAACTGAGCAAGCACTAGTCCCTCCCTCCCTCAGGGTTTAGCCTGTAAAAGAAGAAATCCAACAGTTCATCAGAGACCCTGAACTCTAAACCTTCATCTGCTGACTAATCCTTCCCAGACACCAGCAGTGGATTTGGAAGAATCACAGTAAAGTTCCAAGATCTGAGGAAACTGGAATGCACCTGTTAAGCAGTGCGAGACCAATTGCTTGCAGGATTTTGTAGTAGATGTAAACTGTTCTTTCTTTGGGTATTTGCATAGTTCCCTGTTACTGCAGGAGATCACAGCTCTCTCCCTGTGGAGTGTCATCTGTGTGTACGTTTTATGTATATATGTGTAGGAGGTTTTTCCTTAGATTACATTTCCTAAGTGGATTCAATTTTTCTGGTGTGCAAGACATTTAAAAGACAGCAAAGGATAGCTCTTTTAATTAACATTTCACTATGTAAGTTTCCTTAGGATTTCCCTTCCTATAGACCAACACTGCAATTTTGGTTCATTTCCAGTAATGCCTGTGCCTATGTCACAAGTTAGTAAAACTTATCAAACTGTAGATGTCATTGTACAAAACAGCATCTTTTCCTCCTGCTGTGTGCACTCTGGTGTGTCAACCCGCAGGGTGGGCCCTGGAGAACAGGGCCTGAGACCAGGAGGTGCATTATGGACACTGTAATGAAGAAAAATGGCGTCACAAGAAATGGTCATTTGTCCTTACAATAATTTTACAAAACTTACAAAACTGATTTTACAGATAAATACATTCAATGTGGGGATAAAAAGTCACTGGGCAACTCTGGAGAATATTCATGGATAGAGACCTTTCCTGCACGATAGGATCCAAGCACCAGCATTCTACATGTGCTTAAAAAATCCCCTCGGCAACAAGAACACCCCAGCTCTACCCTCATCGCCGCCTCTCATGCCTCAGATGAACAAAATGACCCCCATATTGTCCTTTTTATTCCTGGCTGGCACCCCCTCCTACCTCAGGTCCCAAATGTTACAGGCCTTTCCTGACCCTTCCCCTTCACAGCACTGGCAAACGTTAAGATGACTTACTGTATTGTCACTCCTACTCAGAGGAAAGCTTTTAGAAATGTTTTTCTGGTGGAAGAACAAGGGAAAGGTTACATATCAGTAAAAGGTTACGTATTGGTAACTTGCATGTAAGGGAGTTTGCACAGGATGCAAAAACATGTGCTTGTTGTGAGGCTGGTACCATAATCCTTCCTTCTCTCTCTTTCCCCCAAATTTTAAACAAAAAGCTGACGCGGAGCCTTTATCTTTCACATGTTTTTGTTTTCACCAGTCAAAATCTGAGTAACTTTTCCTCCCTCAGTTCTAATCAAACCTTTACTTTTAAAGTGAAATTGTATTAGGCAATAGAAAAATCTTTATATAGTTGGGCATGTGCACATGATTGAAGTAAACTCAAATTCAAGTTAATTATGAGTTGCAGGGACAAAATTAATTTCCACATCTGAAATTTTTAAACAAGGATGTTAACAGTAAATTGGAACTCAAGAGGCTTGAGTGCAACTTTCTCAGGAAATGAAAGTCTGTATCTGATGAGCAGGGCTAACGCACTGCAAAGTGGAGGGTGGCTGCCCCCATTACCTTCACACTTGAAGACTCACTGTTCGCAGACACCAGGCTGGTTTTGTGCCTGACCACACATCTCTAAGTCACAAAACTGCCAGGAGCTGGACTTCAGCCATCTATGCTGGGGCACCTCACACCTCCCTCCCTCACGTCACTACCAAAGGTATTTATTTTAACAAATAAAATGGTTCTTTTTTTCTTTGTTTTGCATAGAACTGGGGTGTAGGCCAGAAGTGGGGGGGGGGAGGGTGAGAAGATATACCAGAGAGTGGGGAGCAGAACAGGTGGATCTACTGAAATCCACTGCTGAGGGGAGCAGAAGGGAGACAGGAGAGGTCTGCTGCGCCATGTGGGTCAGCTCCCTGGCCAGGGATCGAACTCAGGCTATAGAGGTGATAGGGCTGAGACTTAAGCCCTAGACCACCCTCAAATGGTTCTTTGGAAGTGAGTGGATTCCCTCAAGTCTACCAAGTCAAGCAACAATCGGGCAAGACGGGCCTGACAGTCACTTAGACTCTATGGCGTTGAGCCTGGCTCCATTAGCACCTTCCATTTTGCTCTGGAACCAGGAGCTGAGACATATGTTAAAGTGCTTCAATGATGGGTCTTTTTTGTTCTCGAAGGTAAAGAAATGTCACCAATTTCTTGGTTCTTATAGCTCAGAAAATAAAATTGCCTTTGTTGTTGTTATGCTGTAGTCGCTGAAAGCTGTTCAGACTTATCTACGGTTGCTAACACTACTCTGCTGGGGCCCTGAAGTCTCTCTTGGCCGAGGCAAATTCCTGTCTGGCTGCTTCCCATGTGCTGGGTGGGTCGAGAGCTGGTCTTGTAGAGGAGCCATTTCTTTGGACAGATTCTCACTTGTGTCAAACCACCTTTCGGGTATCAAAAGAAAAGCCTGGAACTGCAGGCTGACCTTCCCGTGGTGCTTCCTGGCAGTATTCAGCCCCTCCCTCTTAAGAGCAGAGCTACGAGGGGGCACAAAGTCTCATCTTGTTAAGTGAGCTTCTGAGTGGCATTAAGATGACTGTCTTCAATCTTGTATTCTGGGTTTACTTTATACCTAAAGCTTACATGTCTTTACATGGTTAAGCTTAAAATCTCCCAATACTCAGATAAACTCTCCTGATACTTTGCTCCAAGGAAGGGGAAAGCGTATAACTTTTCCATTAGAAAATGTGTTTCTTTTCTCACAGGAGGTTTTTTTTTTTTGTTGTTGTTGTTTTTTAACTTTTTTTGATGTAGGGCCTGCACCTGAAGACCAGAATGCAGGCTCTGGAATGTCTGTAAAAGCTGTCAGCTGTATGTCAGCACCGAGGCTCCGGAGCTGAGGGCTTTCTCTGTGTGCTGACACAGACTCAGCTCCCATTCTATGTCCCTGATGAGAACAGAGTTCTGTGTGGCACAGCAGCTTACATTCTCCTGAAATAAAATAATTTTTAAATGAACTAAAAGCAATGTGTCAGACTCTTTCTCTGTAAAGAAATATATTCTTTACAGATCTGGATTTTCAGATATAAAGTATCACTCATCTAGAAACTACACATGTAAATTTAGTCATTAAAGTCACAAGACACAGGTGGGGGGCGGGTGTCACCGGGACCCTTCACTCTGTCCTGCAATGGCAGCTCACAGTGCACCAGAGAGAACAGTTGCTAGTGACACCAGTGGAGGTCAGGTGCTGCTGTCTAGCTGGTCTCTCTTTCCACAAGATTCTTACAGAAGTGAGAACAGAAGTTGATGACAAAAGAAAGCAAAGAATCACCATATAGTTGGAGCTTCACAGACTCCTGTGGGCTGGGCTAGCGTGTCTGGCCTAAGCCAAAAGCATTAGACTCTTACCGCTCACCAAGTGAGCCTGAGAGCAGCAGGGATAGGCCTCTATGTTGTCAGATAAAGAAGGAAGGGAACTGTTCAGTAGGGCTTAAAGGAGCAAGTATTCTGGAAGAGTCTCTAGCTCACTGTGGAACTGTCTGCAGGGCTGTCCCACCTGGCCAGCCATGGCGAGAGGCAGGCAGTTCCTCACACTGCAGGCTTCAAGACGGCCTGAGGCTTCTACCTGACGGGGCCTGGTAAGGGGCTGGCACCTTGGCTGGGCACTAAATTCTATTAAGTGCTCTCCAAACCTCACTTAGCAACAGAAGCCCCTGGATAGCTTTTTAAGCAATCACGACTTCTCATGCTCACCTCAGCCCCACGGTCAGTTTCTTCAGGGGGCAAGATCCAGATGACACTGGGGTGTCCTCCAGTCCCAAGATCCTGTGATTCCAGAATAGCTGGACAGTTTTTGAACACTTACGTTTCCTGTTTATCTATCACTAATACATAACAGGAAAACAAACTGTTTACATTCTCAGTTTCTATAAAAGCAGCCAGTTCTTTTTTTTTGTAAAGAATACATACATACCCCAAAAGCCCACAAATAAAATTTTTTGAAAAACATAAAAAAATGTTACAAATACAGCACACGATCGAAACATCAGATGTTTTAAGATAAATGATTATAGTGTGACACTATTTCCATTTTAAAACAGTAGGTAAGGTATAAATGACCTCAGTTTATTTTATTATTCAGAGATAACAAGTCTTTTTCTTTCTCGGCAGAAAAAATTCAAGAGTTTTCTCAAATTTTAAACTCATTTGGTGAATAAGGAAATACAGATGCAGATAGAGCTGCAATATACCAGGATGTACAGTTCGATCCCCCATAAGGACCAGCTAGTCAGATACCAGGTAGTTCATAGATTATTTGGCAAAATAGCTTTTACTGTTAAAAATCCGGTGTCTTAAGCAATAAAGGAACAATCTAGTTTTTAAGACTCATTGGAACTCACATAACTTAAACTTACTCAGTACTTTAAATATGTCTTTTTAAGTAATATTTTTTAAAATGAAGAATATGTCACTGATCTTTAATGAAATTCCAAGTCTTAGTGGTCTTCCAGAAATAGCAGTTCCACACTTTCCCAACGGGTGGCAGAGTCTCATCCCACTGTCATCTTCATACAGGTCAGTGCTAGAGTTCGTCGTGTGTCAAAACTGTAGGGGAGTAAAGTTTATTTAGTTCTTGAAATATTAATTATGGAATAAGCTTAAATCTCACAGAGGTCTGAGATTACAGGAGAAGCTGACTGAGGATCCTTTTGTCAGTTTCGTACCTGTATTATTCATCATGTGACATGAAAATAATTCTCTGTACATTATGTTATCCATGATCCTGTAACATCACTGTCACTTTATCCACCTTGAAATGAACACTATGAGGAGAAGGGTCCCATTTCACTTATCCTTGTTATCTCTACGCCAGAGCCTCTAGCAGCAGAGGACTTAAAACATGAACAGATGACTTACCATGTACAAAGTAACCTGTTCTTAATGTAATGGAAAAACAAACAGCAGAAGACACCTATGGTTCTTTTCTAAGACAGGAGGAGAGAACATAATTGAGAGAGAGGGGCAATGACGAGGTAGTCAAGAAATTTATGTCAACATTAAAAGAAAATTCAACATTTAATTGTTGAAGATTTATGTAGGGTGATAAAATGCCAAGGCAAGTACTGCTTTTTCTTTTAAGAAATGGAAGTAAGTCTATTCCCAGTTAGCCAGCAGCCATGACTAAGGCTATGAGAGCCTGGGGACACCAGGGGAAGCCTGTAATATGTGTGGGATTAATTTAGGAGATAGTAGGTAATGCTTTAGTTCTATAAGGCTTTTAGTAAATGTTAGGGCTTAGAATTTCACGTTTGGCAAATTCAGTACGATCTTATTATAGGTAAACATTTGTTTTTCACCCTTCTTGTGACCTGAGGCTAACGCTGCACTATGCTCACCGTGTGGTGACACGAATGGAAGCCACATCCACGAAGGAATAGATTCTCTAGCATGTTGTACATTTGTGAGCTTATTCCACAGAAAATAAAATTCTTAATGACTTAGACTATGTTAAGAAATTCTGACCTACACATCTGAGTTCACTGAGCTTTTGTAAGAGTTCGTAACCTCTTCTGCCTCACTTAATGCGCTGCACAACCAGGACTTACTTTCATTTTTCTTCTTTTTTTCAAGATGCTCCAGTAGTTGCCGTATCTCAGTATCATAGTCCACCCATTCTGGGACAATTCTGGCGGCAGCTTTTAGCTTGGGTTCTTTTGTTTTGGGATTATTGCACTAAAATTTAAAATAAAGTTTTGTTAATGAAAAACCATGCATCAGGAAATGTAAAGGAAATACTTGTGGACGCTGCCATGTTATAAGAATAAACAAAGTATTCATTTGTAAAAAGTAGAGCCCTGAACAATAAGTACTTGAAACACCAGACTTAGTTTAATAGGGAAAGGACAAGCTAAATGACCTATCATATCTTATATACACAGTAAGGGTTTTTATAAATACCTTAATCAGAAATTTAAAACAATTGTTTGAAGGCATGCTGATAATTCGTAAAGACATTTATCAAACAATTCTGCAACATATTTTGATAAAAACCTAAGTATATGACCGTTCTGCAAAGGAACACAGCAGACTATATTAATATATTTTCTTTGGACTAAAAATCTGGTTTTATATACTTTGCTTTCATAGACAAAACCATTTGTCAGGCTTTAGATATGTCTTGAGTTTCTTTAACAAAAACATTCATTCCTCTGCATATGCCTCTGTTCTTCTAATCAACAATTGTGATGGATTAAAACTGTTAGTGCCCCCCCCCCCCCCCCCCCCGTGGCGCAGCAGTTGAGTGCTGTGCTGAGAAGCTGCCCGCAGCCTCTGCAGTGCCGGTTTGATCCCCGGCCGCCGGCAAGGGTCCCACATGGGGCACAGACCTCTCCTGCTGCGCCCACTGCTCCCCTCAGCAGTGTACTTCGTCAGTCTGCCTGTTCTGCTCCCTGCTCTGGCTCTGGTGAATTCTCTCACTCTCCCACGCTTCTGACTATACCCAGTGCTTGTATAAATAAATAAATAAATCTTTTAAAAAAAAAAAAACAACTCGTTAGTGGAATTCACTTTTTTTTTTTTTTTTTTTTTAATTTTCTAGAGGCATGTCTTATTTATTTATTTATTTATTTATTGTTTGTTTGTTTGATACATGCACTGGGTACAGTCAGAAGCGTGGGAGGGCGAGAGAATTCACCAGAGCCAGAGCGGGGAGCAGAGCAGGCAGAAGGACCGAAGTACACTGCTGAGAGGAGCAGCGGGCGGCAGGAGAGGTCTGCGCGCCATGTGGGACCCTCCTCTGGTGGCCGGGGAGCAGCCGGGGATCGAACCGGCTGCAGAGGCTGCAGGCAGCTTCGCAACCCAGCGCTCAACCGCTGCGCCACCGGGGAGGCCCTCGTTAGTGGAATTCACTTTTGAAAACACTGATAGGTATGTCCCCACATCTCCATGCCTAAAAATACTCAACTAGCTGGCTTAACAGGCACAGTGGAAAAACAAGGGAAGCGGATCCTTGGCTGTTACAGTTTCAGCTTCACACATGCTAGTAGTTCAGACCTGTATGTGTGACTGTGTGTAGGAACCTTCATTTGCTAAGGGGGAAACTGAAATAGATTATCTCCAAAGTTCCACTAATACAGGATCAATTTAAAATACTCAGCAATTGGTCCTTCTATAGCGTTTCCTGGGAAATTAAATAAAGTTTAAAAAGCCAAAAACATAGACAGTTGAGAAGGATCTAATTCTGCATTATCTGAACACAGCTGACAAGACTTACTAACGCGTGGGATATGAGCTGTGAAAGTAGAAAGACTTAAAGAGGACTCCTGAGTCTTTGGCTTGAGCAACATAAAGAATGGAGACGCCACAGACACGAGTGACAGGGCACCATAAACTCCACAAGCTGGGAAGTCCATCTGTTTTTTACCAAGCAGTAACAGAGGAAGGTTCTTGGAGTTCACGTCTATGTAACATTTTCTCCTGGTTGTAGCAACTTGGTTTTTTCTTTTAATGCCTGACAGCAAAGCTGTTAGTTCTGAGCCAGGAGCCCGCTGTCTTTTAATTTTTTCCTCATAAAATATTTTTAGTTCATTCTACTGTGTTTTTTTCCTATAATAACATATTCCTGAAGTAGGCAGAAAATGGGATTTTCTTCGCAGAAATAAACTTTACAGGGAATATAGTCCATAAAGTGAAGATAGAGGAACTCTTATTTTTTTTGTGACAAACTATTAAAATAAAAATACTGTTTTCCTTTTCCTTTCCGTGACCTGTAAACGGCACCATCTCCCTCTATCTCTCACGTTGTCTTGCCTTACACAAGACTGTCCAAATTTCTTTTCATGAGCTAAATAGGTGGCACTCGGGCAGAGGGGCTCAGGCATCACCCCCTGAGGGGGGTCCTGACAACATCAGGAGACAGTTCCCGTTGTCGTGACCAGGGGGAGCAGGGATGCTACTGCCACCTAGTGGGCAGAGGTCAGAGATGCTGCAAAGTCCTTCGGCCACACTCGGGACACGAGTCCCAACACCACTGCACACTAGCAAGGGCCAGTACCTCCAGGTCAAGAAACCGTGGTTGAAAGAGAGAACTGAGACAGCTCTGTGACATTCATCACACTCGTAAGCATTAGTCGTGCGTTTCCACTCCATTACACTGTTTCCACTGGATTTGTCTATATTCCTTTAACTCCCCCCACTAAAAAGCTGCCCCCAAATAGCACGTGACCTCATTTTTATTTGAAGTGCTTTTGTGGAAGAGAAGGTTAGGCTGTCCATGAAGATGGACCTGCCTGTCCTCTCTCTGTGTAGTCCTGTTGCTGGGAAGCAGCTGTCCACCTGGGAAGGACATTTCTAGGCAGCTGACATCTCTCCAGAGGCAGCCACACAGCCAACTGCAGAATCTCCACACCCCTTTTCCCCCTTCCTTCCATATCAACATGATCCAACATAAATATGGCAGAAACTATACATCTAAACTTTAAAAATTTCCAGTAGCTACATATAAATATGTAAAGGGAACAGTTGAAATATAATTTTATACTATAGTTTAACTGAATATATCCAAAATACTTTCAGTCACTATACAATCAATATAAGAATGAGCAATGACCTATTTTTGCATTCTTTTTGTTTTAATGGGACTGCAAATCTTGTGCATTTTATACCCTACAGGATGTCGCGGTTCACACAGCAACACTTCAAATGCTTGGTGGTCACATGTGCCAAGGGAGGCTCAGCTCCACATGAGTACAGACAACAGGACCACAGAGGACAGAGGATGGAAGTCAGAAGACGAAGGAGATGGTGCCTGAGGTGCTGAGCACAAGGTCACTACTCACTGACGGGACACCCGCTCAAAGGTCTGTACTTGGGGTGATGTGATGCCATTGAAATTTGTGGGTTTCTTACAGTTACTCATCTTAACATAAGAACTAAAGATCTCAAGGAAACTTGTTGCCATTAATGTATGAGTCAAATCTTAGATGTTGCAAATCATCTTAGCAGCACCTTGCAATTGTTAGTGTTAGGTAAGGTTTTTGATCTCTAGAAAATCCCCCTGCCTTCTCCCTAACAATGCTCTCTATTTGTTTCTGCTGCATCCTATCACCTCCATTTGCATTAATATTTTGACATGCTACTTTTCATCTAAACATTTCTACACACATCTGGGAAAATGTCTCAATATTTTATTATCCTGTCTTATTTTCATTAACAATGTATGAATTCTAGTATTATGACAGTTTGTTATTATTCAGGGAAGATCTTAGAAACAATTTAGATACCAAAATTGGCACATAAAAACAACATGGTATGAAAGAGAGCAGTACTATCTTGTAGCTAGTAAAGACAACATAGTATTGGAATGTTAATGGAATGTTAAGTCCTGGATAGTTGGGACAACAAATTAGTTTAAAATACTTCATGTCCAGGAGAGTTAAGCTGTGTAGCAAAGTAAACTGCTTAAAATGAAAGTCTAAGAAAAATATTTCTCAAAAATAAATAAGGGCGAAAAATAGGATAACTTAAGTATACAGACTTATCTTGGTATTCCTAATTTAGGAAAAATACTGGCAGGAGACCTAAACTAATGATATAATAAGATAACAGTAAACAATGACTATTTCTGCCAGTTCATGGGTCTTTCTATCAAATGTCCTTGTGACAAAAACAGTCAACATAGCAGGCCTGAGACTGCTATTTTCAGAAAGGCCTGCTTGCACTTTGGTCCAGGGACCTGGGTTTCAGGCCTGTTCCCACCTTTGCTGATAAGAACAGCTTCCTATGCCTTTTGCTAGGCAAACAGTGTGGATTATGTTACACACCTGCTTTCCTTCTGGATGCTGCGACTCTGGGTATGCACCAGCAGAGAGGTTGTCTGTGTGACCAACCCGTAATAGAAACATTGGGCACTGGCTTTCTATTAAGCGTCCCTGGCAGATACCACTCCACATTGGTGTGGAATTTGCTGTGGCTTAAGGAATTCAGCTTGTCTTGTGCAATTCACAGGGAGAGGATTCTTGGCAGTTCATGCTGGGTCTTCACCCCATGTGCCCTCTCCCTTTGCTGACTGAATCCTTTCACTGCAGTCAGTGACAGCGAGGGGTATATCCTGAATCCTCTTAGTGAGTCATCAAATCTGAGGAGGGGTCTGGGCCCCCACCATAGCCTTTTCTCGCCAACCAAAGTTAATAGCAAACAACAGCGTAGCAGTGTGCCACTCCGTTTGTAAAAGAGAAAGTATTTCAATTTGAACACTTCACATATGCCTACATACATGTGGTAACAGAGACCCACCAGATCAATCGTTTTAGCTCTTTGTTTGGATTCATCATCACACCACGTTTCACACCACAGCCAGTCTTGAGGAAGAGACTTAATGGCAACTTGGTAAATCATATTATTGGGGAGATCCTACAGGAAAAAAATAATTTAAACACGGAGATATAAAAATAGAATCCAAGCAAAATAAGCAGAAGTCATTTAAATTGTATATTGATCCTAAAAAAAAAAAAATGCAAGATCTAAGATAGCTCCATATATTTTTTTAAAGATTTATTTTTTATTTATACAATAGCTGGAGTACAGGCCAGAGGCATGGGAGGGTGAGAGGATTCACCAGAGACAGAGTGGGGAACAGAACAGGCAGACAGACCGAAAGCACTGCTAAGGGAAGCAGCAGGCGAGATAGGAGAGGTCTGCCATGCCATATGGGTTCCTCCCTTGCTGGTCGGGAATCGAACCTGCGCTACAGAGGCTACAGCCAGCTCCACAACGCTGCGCTCAACCCGCTGTGCCACCAGGGAGGCCCGATAGCTCCATATTTTAAGCTTTAAGCACTGAAGTGGACCCAATGATCTTGTGTCATGTGTGAACTCAAGCACTCCACTAAGCCATACCCCCCTGGCCTTCACCCCACACATGAGGGATAAAGAGGGAGGTTCACAAACCCATCACATTCACCCAGTAGACAGCGATTTGCCTTGAAGCTCAGGAGAATCCCTCACACTGTTTCTTCTCTGACCGTTTGTGCTGGTCTGTGGTCATCACCACAGAACAGGTTTTGAGGAGACCTCTCATTTGCTTCTAGAAAGTGAAGCTTCGTAAATTCACATTTCTGCATGCTCAGGGCTTTCTTAGCAAAGACTACCGTACTGGGGTTTAAGGGGGTTTAAATGGCAAATGAGCTTAGCAAGTCATCTCTACAGAGATTAGAGACACCTTTCCCAGACATCTGTTCATATGCCAGGGGATACAGAGCCCTCCATTCCTTTCTCCAGGGAACATCAGTTTATATTCCAACCAGGCAATATGTTCCCTCTTGCCCAGAGGGCAGGGGTACTTGTGCTAGCTGTACCAGCTGAGTGCTGAGATGTCTCATTTTAGGCTTCTTTTAATGCTCCTATGAACCTCACGTCACAGTCCTAGCTAACGCAAGGAGATAAAATGTGTAGAGATTAGAAGGAGGCAATAAAACTGTGTTTGTTCACAGATGACAGGTCATTTATGCAGAAAATCCTAAGAATCAATAATGATAATGAAAATCTGAAACTAGTAATTATATCAAGCTTTTAGGATACAAGGAAACATACAAAAGTCAGTTGCTATATAGTATTTTAATGAAGAACTGGAAATTAAAATGCAGCACCATTTATCAACTCACACCAGGCCAAACAAAACCCCCTGATACCTAGTGCAAATCTCACAAAATATGTTCCCTAACATGAGGAACACGATAATATCTGATGAAAGGATCTGAAAGATGTAAATAAATAAAAGATATTTCATTTTCATGAATATTTACATTCAATATTGTTAAGATGTCAATTCTTTTCAACTCAATGTATAGATTCAATGCAATTCCAATCAGAGTCACAACCAATTATTTTGTGTTTACTGACTGATCCCAAAGTGTAAGGCCAAAGACCCAGGACAGTCAACGCCACTTACGGTTGTCCACCCTGTGTTGCAGGGAGAAACTTCTAAGAGGAAGAGCAAAATGACAAAGTACAGCTTGGTGCTGGTTTTAAGGCCACACCAAAACCCATTATCTATCATCCATTCCAAATTTGCCTAACCTAGTGACCTGACCCCAAACCTTCCATGGTTAATGGTATTAACTTCTTTGGGAATAACAAGCAGAGTTTCTCCAAGAGGAGTGATAACAAGCAGGATCTATTCTGCCCCGCAGACCACTGTAATCTTTCTAAACAGTGACACCGCTGTTCAGAACACAGTGCTGCATCTGGAGGACGGACCCTCGGCTTTGCAGGGCACTGCCTCTGCTGGGCCTTTGGTGAGCCACCCCACTTTGTCAGGCCAGCAGATTCTGTGTATGTGACGACACCTATGGGATCTCATGCTTCTGGCCTACTTCTGACTTTTAAGTACTGTTCATTTATTCCTTCAGTTATTTCCCCACTAGAATGAAAGCACAATGAGTTACAATCTCTGTTTTGTTTCCTAATGTCCCAAGATTTAGGAGACACAGTGGGTATGCAACAGATACAACAGATAAATGAACAAACATGGACAGTTATAATAAGAACGTCCATTCTTTATTCATCAGAAAGAGGAAACAGTGGAATTATGGGCTACAGAGTTCTGCGTCTTGATCAAATGATTAAAAATGTTTCAGATATAAGGGCCTCCCTGGCGGTGGAAGGGGATAAGTCTCAGCACAGTGAAGCTATCTGCAGCCACTGCAGCATGTGGTCGATCCCTAGTCAGGGAGCTGACCCACACATGGCGCAGCAGACCTCTCCTGTCTAGCCCACTGCTCCCCTCAGCAGTGTATTGCAGTAGATTTGCCTGTTCTGCCCCCCACTCTGTCTCTGGTGAATCCTCTCACCACCACCGCCACAACTCTGGCCTGCACCCCAGCTCTTGTATGCATGCATAAATAAAATAAATCTTTTAAAAAAAGTTTCCGATATAATAATGAAGAAATGAGAATGAGAGAGGGTTAACTGATGACGGAAGTGAGCAAGAGACATGGGATAACTAAGTGCGACAGGGCAGATAGTAAGCGGTTTCAAGGGAAGACAAAAATACTATTTGTTTTGAAAATACTGAGCATGAGGTGAAAATATTTATGTAAGTTGAGGTAGCCAATAAAGAATTGTATGAGGGAGAGAAGAGGCTGAATACACGATGTTGCATTAACAAGCAAGGAGTTGAAGCAGCCTATGTCTACGCGTTGAAAATTATTCCATGAACATTTTACTCACCTGATCTAGGTTAGAGAGACTGTTAGGATCTTGACTGAGAGCTTGGTACTGGCCCCGGAGCCTGTCACCTGCCGCAATTCTCCTGAACTTCTTGAGGTCCACGACGTACAAGGCACTAGAAAAAAGGACTGCTCCTTGATAGCCTGTGTTGTTTACGTGTTTTTATTTTCCCTCATTATTGTCTACAGTAATGGGATGAACTTTAGATACTGTTGGGTATAATAGTGAATCCTTAATAAGTTTGCTCCCAATGTCTAATGCTGTTTCCAAAGGTCTGATGTTTATTATACTGTCAGGATATACATTCTTTTAGGGTTAACTCTACTGTTTCCAAGATCATATGAAACTCATACTCCTACAAAACAATAATATCTCTGAAGACAGTATCTTTGCCGTGTTATTTGTAAAACCCAGTTTAAATCTTCTGTCATAGTAAGGAGCATATGCCTGAGCCATCATATTCGAGTTTAACTCTGGTTCAGCTATGTCCTCGCAGCATTAAATCTGCACTAGTTACATAAATGTTATATGCCTCTGTTTCCACATTTGTCATATGGGATAACAACAGTATCTCAAAAGGCTGTCAGAGACTTTATGAGTTAATATATGTAAAATCTTTTAAGAGTAACTGGCATGTAACAAGCACGATATAGTTGGTTGCCATTATTGTATAATTTCTAAGACAACTGAGAACTGTGATTCAATAAGTTATTTATTAAACGAGTATGAATTTTCTAACCTGATATGGTATTTTCTTTTTAAAAGATGTGAAGCCCAGTATCCTGTTTTCCAGAAACGATATCCATCCATTTCAGTGCGGCTATCACAAAATGGAGTATACCCATAAGGAGCTCCATCCAGGTCAAAATCTCGAAGTTCTTTAAGATCATGTCTCACAATCTAAATAATTAAAATTGACATTTACATATTACTGTTCTTAGAAACCATATTTTTCCAATATTTTCCCCACTGATGACTACAACGTCATGCAAGGGAGAAAGGGGAGAAATCTTGACAATAAAACAACTTGACAATAAAACAATATGCCCCTTTGATGGGAATCTAAAGTCACTGATACCTTATTATAGAAATATAGAGAACTACATTTTTCTTAGCAAGCAATATGAGTTTACTAAGTTTCTATATTTTTCTCTTGACCTCACAGTTTAAAAGAAACAAAAATTTATGCATCTAGTTTATAGGGCAGTGGTCTTGCTCATAAATAAGAATAGCATGTCACATATTTTTAAATGAAAGTATTTTAAACAAAAATATATTTCGAGAAGATATTAAGTATTACACAAATGCATAGCACTTAGTTTCTCGAGGAATGAATAACTCAAAATAATTTTTATGCTAAATCTCCATTATTGTATACTGGCAAATATAAGTTTGAATAATAAAGAAAAATCTCCTGATTATTCTCAATCATATTAATGAAATACCATGAGTATGTTTCATTTTTTAATGGACTCTAGTCTGCTGGAGTCTACAAATGGTAGAGGAAGGTAGAATAAATTATATGTTAGATGGTATTGTTTGGAAATATTTACTTCACCACATTTTCATATTTTCTTTGTTTTTATGACTATGATTGATTTTAATCAATTTGGAAATTAATACCAAAGTAATAGTTCATAAAATAAGAATATAGGGTTTGATAATATATTCTGTTCTAAATATACGTACTAACTTCAGCATTTAATTTATATGACATTTACATATTACTGTTCTTAGAAACCGTATTTTTCTAATATTTTCCCCGCTGATGAACTACAATGGCATGCAAGGGGGAAAAGGGCGAAATCTGGACAATTTTGGATATACACATTTTATTTTTTTTCTAATTTATTTTTTTTCAAATATTTTATTTTATTTTTAAAGATTGATTGATTGATTGATTGATTTATACAAGCACTGGGTACAGTCAGAAGCGCGGGAGGGTGAGAGAATTCACCAGAGCCGGAGCGGGGAGCAGAGCAGGCAGAAGGACCGAAGTACACTGCTGAGGGGAGCAGCGGGCGGCAGGAGAGGTCTGTGTGCCATGTGGGACCCTCCTCCAGTGGCCGGGGAGCAGCCGGGGATTGAACCGGCACTGCAGAGGCTGTGGGCAGCTTCGCAACCCAGCGCTCAACCGCTGCGCCACCAGGGAGGCCCTGGATATATACATTTTAAAAGCTGAGTACTGTAATGTTTTTTTGCGACTAATGATCGAATCTTTTTTCCTTAATTGGTAGAATGATGAAGATTCGGTTATTGGCTGAACACTAAAGAATGTTATTGAAGGTCAAAATTGACAAGAGAATTTTTCAGTAAGAAGAAATCTCTCACTTTAAACAAATATCAGCTCATATTCATAGAAAGTCATATAACTACATTTATTATAACCAGTGTAGTATTTGTTTTATTTTTAACTACCAAAATTTAAAAAACCACTACTTCAGAGAGAAAACAGCCATGTTCTTAAAATAAATTGTACTTTTTGCAATATGTTTGATTTTCCCATGAAATTCTTACCTTTTTTTAAAAAGATACTTTGTTTATATATCAAAATCATATCTTACATGCTTACATAGTATGATAACAAAGATACTAAGCACCAACAGAATAAATCGAGTTCCTATACTCACGCAGAAATGTAAAACAAAAAAGTGCAGGTAATACTGAAAGTAATAGTTAATATAATTACCTGGTCAGCATCAACAAAAATGATTTTGTCCACTGCTAGAGGAAAAAGGACATCAAGGAAAAGAATTTTGTAACCCCAAATAATTCTCTGTTTTTCAGTCTGTTGATGAAGCCAGCGGGGCCACCTATACTGGACTAGTTCATACTGGAATCCATATTCCTTAGCCATATGGGGAATTACCTCCTAAAAGCATACAAACATTCACAAAAACACAAAGATTTATGTTCAAAGAACAGAAAGTTTTTGTTTTAGAGAAGAAATTAACATTTTTAAAAGGCAGAATTTACCATAAATTGTTACAAACTGGTAAAATGTCTAAATACTACTTCTACAACTTAAAAACTTTTAAAGAGGCACATGAAAATGCTTACAAACAGAAATATAAAACTGTATCTAATACTATACATTTTAATGATATCAACAAATATATCTATTAACTAGCAAATTTATTAACTCAGATAATGTTCCTCTACTTTTACTACTATTTTATTTGTGAAAACTTGACTGTAGAAAGAAAAGCCTCAGTGTCTCGGGACATCATCCTTCAGTCATGTTTTATATATGTCGACAAGCCGGTTAGTCACAGAGATGCTAAGACGAAAAAGGTTCACAAAAAACACAAAGCGACTTGTAAATTGATAAATTAGACTCTCTGAGTTTCATGTGTGATATTTATGACCAGTTCAAGGATAAAAATACAAGGTAGTTATCCTGGTCTGACTACTTGATTCAGTGTCTTATAAAATTAGAGTATCTTATTCTGTTTATGCCAGAAATTAAATTTTTTGATTAAAGAGGCTGAAAATTGAGAAGGAAGATGGTGAAGGTACAGGGAAATGTGAGTTAGCAAATACAGAATTTACTTTCATCTCAACTGTCACCTGTAGTGAGTTGCTGGTTAGATGCCTAGTTTAATTTTCACCTTACTTTTTAAAAAACAATTTAGACTTATGTGTTCATTACTCTAAGCATTAATTTTATCTGTGGGTTGAAATGTTGAAATTATAGTTAGAGCAGCTGCTGGGAAATTACTGCTTCAGTTTGAAAAAAAAAAAAACACCAATCAGGAGAAATTATAAAGAAAACTTTTTAAAATTCAGTCAGAATGCTTAAAAAAAAAAAAAAACAACTCACTAAGCATGCCACATGCCAGGCACAGTTGTCGGCACAAGGGGCACAGCAGTGAACAAAAGAGATATAAATCATGGCCTCTTGCAGCCTGCATTTCAGAGGTCTCAGGGAGAGAGCAAATGAAACTACAGAAGTTTCTATCTCCAGAAGACGTTTGCTTTGGGAGTGAAAAACAGAAGGGGTGTAATATAGTGTGGTCAAGAAGAGATTACTTCCTCGGTAGATACAATTCAGTAAAAATTTGAAGAGGAAAAAGGTCTAGTGTATAAGTAATTTCTGTTTCTGTACCTGGTTGCTCACTACACAGGTGTTTCCAGTTTGTAAAAATATGTAAGAGCCGCACACTTGTGATTGGTACACATTATATTACACTGAAAAGTTGTTTTTTTTGAATCTGCAATTGAATATACATATATACACATAATGGATTACTACTTAACTATTATAAAATATGAAATCTTGCCACTTGTGACAGCATGTATATGTAATTTATCCTTTCCATTGAGAATAATATTGACTCTGGGTTTGTTGTACATGGCTTTTATTAACACTGAAAAGTTTTTCAAAGAAAAATTTTGAGGGAAAGAAACAAATTATAAAAAGAAAAAATATTTCAGATATGGAATTACTTTTGTCATGTAGTGATGCAAGAACTCTACTCAAGCGTTAACACTACTTCCAGCGAATGACACTATTACCTGCTAAGAGACTCTGGACTGTAGCATCTTAGTCTGCAGAGTTACAACCCCTACAGAGTGTTTGCCAACCTGGAAAGCATGTTAAAAACTTAGTAAACTAATATGATTTCTTTGCTATATTTATGGTTTCTACTGCTGCCAAATGAACACAGGAGGGTATGGAGGCACTCCTTGTGATGGGGGGTGGGCAGAAGGGTTGTTACACAGAGTTAAGTGGTTGGGCTTTGAGGTCCAAAGGCTTGTGCTCATACCTGGCTATGTTCCTAATTAACTCTCGGATTCACACCTGCATGATGAAGGACAAACCTTGCTTTGCCTTGGTTCCTGAGAGGTAACTGCTGTCCCTTGGTATGTCCTGTTGGTAAGAATGTCTTTATATACCTGGGAACCCTGGGCCAGGCATTTGTGGTAAGGATGCTAGGGTGTCACATCTGGAGGGTCTCAGGGCCATCAGACAAGTCTAAGTGGCCAAACCCTAATTAAAACTCTGGAGACGAAAGTTTGAATGAGCTTTCCTAGTTGACTCTACTCCATGTGTACTGCCATACATTTTTCTGGAAGAAATAAATTCCGTCCACATGACTCTGCTGGGCGAGGGCAACTGGAACCTCTGGGTCTGGTCTCCTGGGGACCCTGCCCTGAATCTCTTTGTTGTGCTGATTTTAGACTGTCACCTTTTGCCATAATAAACTGTGACTGTGAGTAAAACTGCTTTTATGAGTATAGGATTCCATCTAGATATAATGAACCTAAGGGTCTTGGTACCTCCCAACTATGCAGGTAAGTTACTAACTTCTGAGTGCTGTTTTTCTGGAAATAGGACTTTATGAAGAGTAACTTAATGATTTAACCAGCAAAGCAGCAGCAATGTGTCCAGCAATATTAAGGAATAAAACCATGTTTGGCTATTTTTATTTTTGCCTTGACCACTGGTTTTGGTATAGAAAAAGAGGACATATTTGAGCTGCTACTGAGTAAAATCCTAGTTTTCATGGGATGTGACTAGTTTGCAATGAGAATAGGAAAAAACAGTTCACTCTGCAGCATGAGTGTGGGGGCTAAGTAAAGGTAAGAGACATTGGCCATCTGAAAACTTCTAAATATAAAATGCCTCATGTTTCTAAAATAGTGTCCGCACTATGTACTGCACAAAGACAACCAGCCTTATTTTCCTCAGTACTGCCAAAATATTTACTATGGCACAGTTTTCAGACTTTCTTGCTATGACTACTACTATGATATCTACCTATCTTTGTAAAAATATGATAGAACCTAATTCTTTTTATTAAAGAATGGTATTTTTCACTGACAAAATTTTATTTATTTTCATGAAAAATCACCGAGCCTTCTGATTTTGAGTTTACTTAAAAATAAACCATCTCATCTCTTTAAATTCTCCTTTAAATAAAAACTGCACAGAATTTTAAGACAGATAAAAATTATTGAACAAAGTTACAAAATTAATTAAAAAGAGTAATTTGAGTAAATATATATATTCCCAAGACTCAATCTGACAAAGGAAATGTTATGTAAGTATACAAGGATTACTAATCAAACATTAAATTCTAATGGGAATCAAACATTACCATTCTAAAAAGTTAATGTACTTACTTTAAATGTTGGTGAGAGGTAATTTTTTAGAAACCAGAATTTCACTGGTGTTTTTGTGTTACGTAAAACTGAAAGCATCATGATTCTGTAAAAAAAGAACATTTAAACTTAGTAAGTTAACATTATTAGAAGCTCATCCTACTTTTCTCAAATAACACTAAAAAGTACTATTAAAAGTTTTTCACTATGAATTATGGAGGAACAGAAAGAAATACCTTCAAATATTATGGCTGCTGCTCACGTATGTAACTACCTTATGATGAATAAATTGGCTGCTTTTTGTTTGTTTCAGTTGCTGAAGTCAGTCTGAAACAGTTTTGTTTAGCTGAATTAGAGTTGAGTATTGGCTTGATCACAAGTCATTAATATCAGCTATTTAAAAGTTTAAGAGTTGAACTGTCCATATTGATAACTCACTGGACAGGGCACTTGTTTTGCCATCCTATGCCTTAGATTGTATCTGAAGCTCTATCTTAAAATATCAAAACATAATCAAACATTTTGATGTATTCTCTGTGATCCTTCCAAATAAGCAGTTAAAAAGTGGTCCTTTGTAATTTTTAAATATGCTTTCCTCTTTTCATCTCTCTCCTCCTCTTTAATAAACAAAGTATTCCTTTTACTGAGGAATACTACATTTCTACATATCATCTAATTAAAAAATATGTCCATTTTATAGCCTTAAAGAATGCCAATCTTCTAATTAATCAAACTCATTAAAACTATTTAAAACTATCAAACTCATAAACTGTATTTAATTTTAAGTAAAAAAAAAAGGGCAAGATGCAGAACAATATATACTTTGTTACTATTTGGGTAAAAAAAAAAGGAGCAAGTATATTTGCAGGCCTCCCTGGTGGTGCAAGGGGTGAAGCACAGTACTATGAAGCAATCCGCAGCCTCTGCAGCATGACTTCGATCCCCAAATTCAATCCCCGCCAGCCAGGGAGAAACCCACATAGTGCAGCAGACCTCTCCTGACTCGCCTACCACTCCCCTCAGCAGTGCACTTCGGTCAGTCTGCCTGTTCTGTTCCCCACTCTGTCTTTGGTGAATCCTCTCACCCCCACCCCTCTGTCCTATACCCCAGCTCTTGTATGCATAAATAAATAAATCTTTAAAAAAACATATTTGCTCATCATTACAGTTCTGTCCTGTCTTTGGCAGGATGAGAAAATACTGGTTTTCCAACGCTTGAAAGCTGATCAAAGATCTGCGGTGTTCAGAGGGGGAAGGGAAGGAGGAGGGATGGAAAAGGAGGTGGGGGTCTCCCGGGGTGGGAGAAGAACACAATGGACTATGGTGGAAGAATAAGGGTGCTTTGGTGGTGGGAGCACTTTAATGATCATACCTGAGGGAGGAAATTCTATAATGTCAAAACATGAGCAAGGATATAAAACAATGGTATTTCAATAACAATAAAGTTTTGAAAAAGAAAATACTGGTTTCCAATGAGAAAGGGTATTAGGTATCAAGAAACAGATGGGAATTATTTTTACTGCTTATTCTTTTATTCCTTTTAATTTTAAACATAAAAATATTATATAATTATTTTTCAAAATGAGATTAAAAAAATAGACCTACCTTAAGAAACGTTCATATAAATGACCAGAAGCAACCGAAAAAATGTTTAGAACGTCTGTTTCCTTTTTGTCTTTTTTCTGTAATCTTCTTGTGAAACTTGAAATAAAAAAGTAGTGATACAGTTTCTTAAAATACACCTGCAAACTTTATATCCCTAAATAAGATATTAATTTCATAAGCAATAAAGGAATGCATTGCAAAATGAAGTTACTACATTGTAAATATGTTCTTATATTAATACTCATCTATTATTAATGTTAAAGCATATGACAATATAACCTCAAGTTTCATGATCAAAAAGTTCTAACAATGCAACTCCACTGTCTTTAGATTATAAGGTAGTAGTGTCTTAGAATCTCTGCGTTACAAAAATAGTTCTGAGACCAAAGAATGAGTTACACACGCCATGCTTTGACCATATACAGTGTATTGAGACTTCAAATAGGCCTAACGAGGGAAGAAGCAGAACGCAGAAGTGTGTCACTACAGTACAGGAAGAATTTTCCTATGTAGTAACAGGGTAGGTGTTAAAATATTCACTATCTTCTACCAGATTACCTTTTAATGGAATCCCACATTCCTTTTTTTTCTACTTCTTTATCAGTAAGGACATCTTCCTTAATTTTGCCAGGCTTTTTTTGTACCTAGATAGTATGGTAAAAACAAATTCAGAATTTTGTAGCTTTAAATATTACAATGCATGGCTAGAAGGAGAAACACACTGGGCAAGATGATCCCTGCCTAGGAAAGCGGTAGCAAACAGAGTCTGAGAACATTACAGACATAATCTTGACAACTGTCACTTCAATCTCACCTTTAGTTCTCTTGGTGGTTACTTCCATGCTGTTAAATTAGATGCTTGTATGTAATGACTTACCCATTTCAGACATTGCCTACCAATATATCTAGAGTTGCAGAGTTTAAACATCATTCATTCTGCGACGACAGATGACTAGCTCACTTGTAGCATCCTTCCTCGAAGTTTGGTTTTGGTAATTTTATCTTGCTCATTAGTTCTTCTACTTAGTATTTTTGTAACTTTAAATAGTAATAAATTTCTAATTTTTATTCTAGCAACTTCAACAGTTGCTCTTGCACAAGCAGTGCAAGGATGCTATTCAACAATAGTAAGGGCAATGTATCTCTACCTTTTCCCTCTGCCTCCTACCTTCTATTAACTAAACCTTTACCTTAGCCTTGTAAATACAGGTAATATTATATTTAGCTCTGCAAATTACATTTATCTTTTTTGCACTTTGCTATGTTTATTCTACAACATGAAAATCAGTGAAGAGCAGTGATTAACTATGTAAGCACTGATCACTGGCATCTGGAAGGAGACTGCAATCACATTTCCTCTGCAGTTACAGTGGTACTTTACGATAGAGTTGTAATTTTTCTTAGAATTTTGTGTTTTTCAGGCCTCCCTGGTGGCGCAAGGGGTTGAGGTGCAACCTATGAGACTGTCCGCAGCCACTGCAGCACGAGTTCAATCCCTGACCAGGGAGCTGCCCACATGGCGCAGCAGACCTCTCCTGCCTCGCCTGCTGCTCCTCTCAGTAGTGTATTTCAGTGTATCTGCCTGTTCTGTTCCCCACTCTGTCTCTGGAGAATCCTCTCACCTCTCACACCTCTGGCTGTATCCCAGCTTTTGTATGCATAAATAAATATTTTTTTAAAAAAAGAATTTTGTGTTTTTCATATGGTAAGACAGGTCTTTTTTTTTTTTTTAACCACAAACCTAACATTCAAGTCACCACTTCTTGAGCTACTTATCTTCCTCTTTCTTGGTCAAGAATTCTGCTATAGAATGCTTGGTTCAAAATAATTTTCCTCAAAACATGAAAGACTTTGTTGTCTGTTAACATCCATTTTGAAATGAGAAGTCTGTGGCTAGCGTCCATGTCATTCTTTTGCAGTGACCCACTTTTCTCCTTGTTAGTTACCAAGATCTTAGTGGGCCATTTTCCACTCATCCTTATTTATAGATCCTTTTGAACATTTTCTTTCTTTTTGGAATTGCTAGTGGTAAGCCACTGGAGCTCATGCGCTGATCCTCTACGGTGTTGACCTTTCATTGTTCTTTTGGTCTAATTCCTGAGATCAGTGGTGAGGAGATAAAATTGTTTTTAAAAAACAACTAAAGAACCTTGCAATGGTTAGACTGTGGAAGGTTTGATTTTGGTAGGGCATGATTATTACCCTCAAAGATTTGATGGCTCTGGTGAAAGGCTCAGACCTGCTCTATGTTAGTGATAAGCCAGGTCAAATCAGAACTAGTAGAGAGTGCATATTTCAGCTCAGGAAATTAAAATTTAAATTTTCAATGGCCACAATTGCTCAAAGACGGAATAGTACTCAATACGATCCCCACATACAGAATTAATGTCTCCTGTTTGCAGGACCAGGATGAAACCAGCTGGAACACCTGTGCTGAGTTAATGTCTTAAGCAGCTGGCCTGGATTTTGTTGTTTTTCAGCTGGAATGACCAGAAGCAAATGTATTCAAAGAATGTAAGTTATTATTGAAAAAGGAAGCTGAGGTAGACACAGAAGAAAGGGCATCACAGATGAGTGTGAGCAATGTGTAGCTGACCACAAAATGAAGAGCGGAGGTGACCAGGAATAGGTTATGACATGGCATAAATCTGGTGGTACGGTGGTTCAGGATCTAGGCAATACGCAAGAAGGGTGCTGCGGCAGCCTGTCGAGAAAGCCCAACCAGAGTCAGTATATCCTAGCTAATTTTACTCAACCACATTGCAGGTAGGGAACATCCTCTAGTCTTTGAACTTTGTTGTAATTTGCTTTTAAATCAAATGAGACTTTTTTATCTTTAGTCATAACGTCTGATACAACTGATAGAAGTACAGCTATACAAGTTTTGTTTAAGTTAATGTTGGCTTAGTACACTTTTGCACATCTATATTTTCATTCTCACTCATTAAGTTTGCTTTCTGCAAGCAACACATAGCCAATATTTTAAAAATATATATAGTATGACAATCTTTGTGTTTTTTTAGTTGGAATACTTAAATGGCTTAAATTCTAATTTGCTATTTTATGCTTCCACACATTATTTTTTCTCCTTTGAGTTGATTTGTGTTGATTAATTTGCTTCCTTCCATTTTTCCTCTTTGGCATTATGCCTTGCTTATATTTGGGAGTTTCTATTATCAAAAATTTTTAAATTCCCATTTGCTTTAAAGTCTACAAGTAATAGTTACCTTTTCTCTGGACAATATAAGAATATTATATGTTATTACAAACCTTTAATGACATAAATGTTACTTACTGTTTTTAGATTCTATATATTTTAAAAGTCCTTATAAGACATTACTATTGTTTTATATGGTCAATGTCTATAGATTCATTCATATATTAACCATTTTCTTTTCTTTTCATTCTTTTTTCAAACTCAGACCCTCCGTGTGACACACATTTTCTCTGCCTGAAGTAAACCTTTTCACATTTCCGTTTGTGTGAGGGTCCTGGTAGCAATTCAGTTTTCTTTTCATGTATAACATTTCAAATTTTGCTCCTGATCTTATCTCCAGAGCCTAATTTTATGGAAAATTATCTGGCTACAGTAGAGTAGCTATAGTAAACACATCCACAACTTGAAAAAAAAGAAAAAAACACATTCTTTTTTTTTATCTTCAAGCTCTCTGCTTTCCCTTTGTGAACTTTAGTCCTCTTCATCATCACTAGAGTTTCAATATGACATATTAGGTAGCATCATTATAAAATTAGTTGAAAATTAATCAATTAACAACAAAAAGATAATTCTTAATATTAAGAACACAGCCTATAAAGACTTTCTGTCCTACACACTTGCACTTCCAGAATTTTGCTTTTGAAGCTGTCTAACACAACAGTGACATCTCCGAGATTCGGTTCAGAGTCAGTTCCTTGGTGCCTAAAAGTGGAAAAACATGTAAATGGCTATAATCAAATCAAGAAAAGACAAAAAATTGTGATGGTATAAATAACAATAAATTCATTTTGCTATAAGCACAAGTATAGTCATTTATGTATGTATCTGCTTTTTCTATAGTCAAATATGAAACATTTTCTAGACTAAAAATAAGTTTTTTACATATCATTATCAAAGAAATTCTATACCGACCAACAACTCTTTAAAGTCCAGTCATTTTCAAATGCCAAAATTTAGAGTGTGCTGTTAAACTCATCAAACTGAAAATGTGTGTGCCATTAGAATGCTTTTATTCTCTATTACACATAATGCATCTCAGGGTCTCATTTTCAAAACTGTAGCAACATGATAGCTGCACTCATTAATTATTTTTGATACCATCTCATTATACACTGAAAATGTTACTGTAAAAACATTTGTAATAAAATTGAATTATGTCAAAGAAGGAAAGGAGCCTATGTCAAATTAGTAGATCCCTTGTGTCCAGTCAGATTTACAACATACACTTGAGACTTACTCAAAAATAAAAATCTGGGGATTCCAGCACTATTTTGAGTAGCACATGCCTTTGATCCCTTCATCCAATCCCCAGCTGAGGTAGCTAAGCCAAAATAGAAGGTAGAGCCTTGTCCAACAAACACCACTAGGGAAACAGAAAGGGTTCCAACTTCTGCAGGGGAAATGTCAACTTTTAAAAAAATTTCAAAAGCTTTTTAGGTCACAAACACTGCTCAAGGGAACCTGCAAGTGTACCCATTGCATTCCCTTTTCGCATTGAAGTCTGTTGCATATCAATGTAGGGACCTGACAAATTTTTACATAAGTATAGTCTCCTGCAGGTAGGCCTGACACATACAAGACCTAAAGCACACCACTACCATCACACCAGGGGGTACAGGCTGTAGTGATGAAGAACCTGATTCTACTTCAGGCACTTCTTAAAGCACATTATGCATGCTAATTCATTAATCATACAGCCATCTTTGAGGCGAGTACAATAGATACCTTTGATCTGGACTGAGCCTAGTAGTCTAGCTCCTATCACCGTACTGCTATACCTTTGTAAGTAACACTAAGCAACTAAAAATCACTGGCCAGGGCCTCCCCTGGTGGCGCAGCGGTTGAGCGCTGGGTTGCAAAGCTGCCTGCAGCCTCTGCAGCGCCGGTTCGATCCCCAGCTGCCGGAGGACGAGGGTCCCACATGGCGCAGACCTCTTCCTGTCACACCCACTACTCCCTCAGCAGTTGGTCTGCCTGCTCTGTTCCCCACTCTGGCTCTGGTGAATTCTCTCACCCTCTGCACTTCTGACTGTACCCAGTGCTTGTATAAATAAAAATAAATAAATCTTAAAAAAAAAAATCATTGGCCACATGATGACATGCAGCAGCTTAAATGAAAGCAAAATGCTAAAGCAGTGAGAGGAATTGTACTTCACTGATAATTAATGCATAAAAAAGAGTATCATTCAAATTATTTATGTAAAATATAACACAACATATGGTTATTTGATAAATGATAAAATAAGAATACCCATATGCATGGAAAAGTTTACATAAAATACAAAGTAAACGAGGCCATAAAGCATTAGGGATACCTTTCACATACGAGAAATGTCACAGTTTTGTAAGTATTTTGTGTTCCAAATAATGGTGTTCATGAACACTTTAGTTGTTTCAGTGATCTTGGTTATATTACACTAAAAACTTATTTACACATGAATATTTTTAAGTGGTTTAAATAACTTACCCAACTACTTGATAAATATCTTCAGATTTTCCTTGGCGTAACTTCAGTATCCAAGCACCTGGGTTTGCTTTTAATTGGAAATATCCCTTGTAAAATGAGGAAAGACGTGACTTTAGTTTTATGACTACAAGCATATCCAATTGTTGAAGAATGATTATACATGAGTCATCCAAGAAAGTGTTTACTAGCTAGGGAGTGAGTGAATCCTACAAATGAATTCCAGGGAAGATTTTGCAATAACCTGTAAAAGCACATTCTTCAAGTATGAGTCCCTTCATTTTTGTTTTGGTTACCTTTCTCAAGTATTGAAATTTGTTTTCCACAGAGTGTTCACTAATAGCAGGGTAAGGATAATTTCCTATTTTTATTAGGAAAAGTTAGAGGCATTCACCAAAACAGTGAATTAAATCTTACCAATTAAGTATTTGGAATACTTACAAGATTGGCCATCACTATTGTATCTACCATAACAGGTTTCTTTTTTGTGCCAAGTGTGAACTGCAGGCCCCGAGGAGGCTGTTCTGCTGTCACATCAAAGCAGTGTCCCTCGAGTAGTAGGTATTCCAGCTCATATTCAGCTACAACAGTCCTCTCGATCTGTGGAGGAAGATGTTATTGTTTTGGCATTACTCATCTCATAATACACATTTATAATAAATGGGATTTTAAAAAATTAGCAAACTCATTTGGGGGTTAACTTCATCTTTCTCTCACATGAGTGAACTTAATACTTGAATCAATTTCTGAAGTCTGAAACAACTAATGAACTCTCCCCCCTCTTCCGCCTCCTTCCCCTTGACATCAGCTCTGATCCAAGCTCATAGGACATGTATCAACATCACAAGCGGGAGAGAGCAGAACGTGGCACAAGCTCTGTAAGTTGTAGTGTTCCAAGAGTCTCCTCAAGGAAACTCCTCAGAGAATCTACTTCATTTGCCCAGAGCTCCTACTTCAGAACTGGCAAGAAAGTCAACTAATCATCTATCACTGTATTTGTAATAAAGAATTGCTTTGCACTCAAAATATGTCATTAAAGAAAATTTAGCAAACATAAGAGGAAAAGAGAACAAACAGAATTCACCTGGAGACCAGACATTCATATATGCATAAACAGTGATTCTATTTGTTTTGCTTACATCATTTGCTATTTTTTTTCATTAAGCAGTTTCAAAGACTTGTCTACATAAATATCCTTTAAAAGGGCTGTACATTCTATATTATTTCCATATTTCCTCTATTGTAAGTGTTAGAATAAATATTTTAGGGATGAACCTTTTTCTCTACTTCAAATGACCAACATTACCAAATAGTGATTTTTACATAGTTTGGCATTTTGTTGAGCAGATAAGACAGTGATGCTCTTTATTTTTAGTTTTATTTATGCATATGAGATTCTCAACACTACTGATTAGTGTGTTCGGATATAGAATATCTGAAAATATCTTGTTTCATATAGCTGTTTTTTCTTGGATTATATGCAGCACTGAAATAATTACAGTACTTATGCAGAGCATTTTTTTCTTGAGTTCAGTTCTTATAATGTTACTGATTTTAACAAGAAATAAGTCAACTGAACCTCCCGTGTGGTGCAAGGGGTTAAGCACAGCACTGTGAAGCAATCCAAAGCCTCTGCAGAATGAGTCTGACCCCCATTGGGCGAGGGAGCTACCCACATGGCACGGCAGACCTCTCCTGTCATGCCCACTGCTCCTCTCAGCAGTTTATTTCAGTCAGTCTGCCTTTTCTGCTTCCCATTCTATATCTCTGGTGAATCCTCTTACCCCCTGCACCTCTGGCCTGTACCCCAGATCTTGTATGCATAAACAAATCTTTTAAAAAAGAAGAAATAAGTCATCTTCTTTAAAGACAGTATTTGCTTCAACAATTTTAATTGGCTTCTGAATAGTTGTTGAATTATGACCATTCTAGTGATGAACTTTATAGACTGCATTAATCTGTCTCCATAGTCCTTAAAGCCCTTTGTCTGGATGGAAAGATTTGGATGGGATAGTCTCAGAATATGAGACTACTAAGTTAAAAAGACATCATATAGGCCCCCTAGCTGAACTCCTTCATTTTACATACAAGGACTATGCCCATAAGTGATTAAGAAATAAACCTTAAGTTTATCATGAACTAGAAATTATGGTTGAGCACAAACATACTCAGTCAGTTTGTGACTAATATGTTCAGGTTATAATATATTAATGTAAAAATTTGTCAGGTCCCTATATATTTATACAACAGACTTCAATGCTACTGACCTGCTCAAACCACAACACACAATTTTTTCAAAATATTCCTTCTAGTGACTATTTTGATTTTACTAATAATTTCATTAAGGTGATTTAAATAAAGTCAGTTATTACTTTCAAGGTTTATTTTTGGCAAGGATATTGTCTTTTTTGATGTTTCTATCTCTTTTATATTTATTTGTTCTAAATATTAACTGTTGACATGAGACAAGACTTTAATACCTTTCAAATATAACTGGGAGTACATTGATATTTTTAAATGGGTGTTTATTATAATTTTTAGCATATGAATAGTTGTTAGCATCTTCCTTTATAAAGAGGGTAAAGTTTAATTATAAAGATTAGCCATTTGGCTTTATTAATAATTATCTATGAATCATATAGAAATTCTTTGACAATTACACAGGCAATGAGCATTTCATCAATAAAACTAATGTCTACAGTATTTGTATTTCAGAAGGGAATAATGCATTTTTTCTGTGAATTAGTTCAATACAGTCACATCCTATTTTCCATTAGCAGTCTTTTACTCACTTCCTCTTTACTGAATAACCACTATTGTTTCAGATATTCTGATCTTTCAGATACAGGCTGTGATCCAATATACTGGAGAGTTTCTGGAGGCAGCTCTAACAACAAACTCTGAGAAGAACATCTGAACACATGGCAAAAAATAACTGTTCAACTTTATGTTTTCCTGTAATCTCTTTTGCACCAGTAATTATGGCATGCACGCTGGCTGTGCACTAAACCACGTGAACAAAAGCCTGGTAAGAGGGGCTTTTTCTTGATCAGTTTTATTCAGGTGTTTATAGAACGCGTGGGAATTGACGTACCAAGGCGTACTTTTGAAAGCTTTGGCAGTGACAAATCTCTCAAGTATAAGTTTCATTTTAACAAGGGCTCACTTTTCTCTTTTACCTACAACTCCTTGTTCTCTAGCGACTGTCTATTATTTCATATTCACCTAGTATATTTGCAGGTCAGGTTGTAAGTTGTAGAGCACACAAAGGAAGCAGGACTCCAGCCTGCAGTCTACAGAGGACTTTCTTCTCTGCTTTCACCCTAATCTCATTAGGACTAATCTGGTTAATTGCCCTAATCTCATCAGGCTGCTCTCTGGCTATGAACCGTGAGGCATAAAAAGTTTCAAATGAAACTTTCTTTTTGAGGTAAAAACAAAACCTGAAGGTACTTGGAGGTATCGTGCTAAGATACCACGCATCTATCTTCCTACTTGTACACTGCTCACCTGCGAGAAGCATTTATCAACCAGTGTCTGAAGCAAGAGAAAGGGTGAGGGCATCTAGGAACGGGATGGGAAAATGGTGTAGCTGAAATCGGAAGTCAGATAACTCAAAAAGCAAAGGAAAGACTGGATGAGGACTGAAAATAAGAAGGAAGAAATGCTAGCAAGTGGCCACAGTGTGAATGCCCACTTTGGTACCGTTATACTAACTGGTAAGATTTTCTCTTATTCCCTTTCTTTATGCAACTTGATATGCTAACTTACATCCTTTAAGTGAATATTATCGAGGTCACAGTTGCTGTGCACTGTTTCCACCAACCAGCCTTCAGGAGTAATCATGTTGAGGGTTAGAAGGGGTGACTCGGGGATATCCAAGAATTTTGCCACAGGCTGAAGGATGTCATTAGACCCGGACATGAGTTCTGCTTCCAAAACAAAACGGTAAAAGCTGTTGAGAGAAAATAAAAACTCATACTGTGAGCAAAGTTGACATCATTTCTTCTGTCTAAAATATTTCGAAAATGAAGACGGCTTTATAACTTAACTAGAAATTCTTAAAAGAGAAAAATTAAAGTCACACTAGAGTTAATGCTTGTAAATGGTAGGGAATGACATCCAGAAAGCAAGTAATATCCAAGCTTAAATCCTTGAACCAATTTTAAAAGGTAAATTAAAAACACATATATTGAGTTGAAAGCAGATACTTATTAATAGAGCTCTTAGAAATACTTGCAGTTTTAATGTATTTTACATTTTTGTGCTCCAACATCTGCACGTGAAGCGCTCGTGACATTACTAAGAAGGGTGACTGGCACTGCTCTGAGCCTGCCCGTAAGAGCAGCTGTGCCGCAGCTATCTCAAGGCTCCCTGGGGAAGGGTCCTCTTCCAGGCTCACGCAGTTCAGGCCTCTGGAACCTGGGTGGCAGTTCCCTGGCCGGAGATGCCCGCAGTTCCTGGCCACAAGGGCATCTCCGGCATGCTTCAGCAGAGAACACAAGAGCAAGAGGGAGAACACTAGCAAGAGAAAAGTCACAGTCCGTGTACTGCAGAAGGGATAGTCCCTGGCTTTTGCCAGATTCTGTTCACCAGAAGCACATCACCAGACGCAGCCCACGCTGAGGAGAATCTAACGAGTGTGAATCCCAGGAGGTGGTGAGCCTTGGCAGCCATGTCCCAAGAGGTGCCTGCGGCAGGCAGGAGAGCAGGGGAAAAAGAGGGGTACGGGGAGACGTGGTAAGGAGCACAATCATGAAGCAAATGCAGAAACCAAGCACTGCCAAGGCAAGGCGATGCTGCCAGCCCAGTGAGAAGCAGCCCAGGATGTTGTGATTAGCAATTTCTCTGTGATTTAGCAAAACCAATGCAGTGGCAAAGAGGAAGTTAAAGCCAAACTGCAAACTGAGGTACAGTGAATGAGAGAAGAGGGTGCACTTTTCAAAGGAACGTGATGAGGAAGAGTGGAGAGAGGAAAAAATCAGCATCCCAGAGGAGAGGAAGTCGAGGGAGTAGTTTCTCTCTCTCTTTTTAAATGAATAACTCCCAGAACTGAAAGAGAAAACGCTAGCAGAAAGGTTAAACATACAGAACAACAGGAAATATATATAAACCAAGGATCCAGGACAAATGGGAAAGCATGGGGTTAAAACAGGAGAGCTAGTGTCCTTGCCTAGCACGCAGGGAGGCTGGTGGGGACAGGGCAGGGAGCAGGAACTAAGGGAATTTCTGCCAATAACCTCCACCAGCCCTGAGAAGGATAATACAATATTCTAAAAGAGCTGACAATGTGTAAATCAGCTGACCTGATATATGCTACTGAGTAAGAAAGATTCTGCTGAACTCATAGTTAAAAAAAAGATACATTAATTTTTGTCTAAACATAGTCACCTGGTACAATACGAGTTATTTCATCTCAGAGAAGTTCTTCACACCTAATGTTTATTCTTGCTTATATTCAATACTCCTTGCTCCCATAACATACCCCAAAGCTTTACAGGGATACTGTGGAGAGGACCTCTACTTGTGTGAATAAAAATCCTGTACTCATAGAACAAACAGACCTCTCAACGAGTGGTTAAACAAAAGATAACTTTTGTTCAAACTTAGAAAGGTATTACAAAATTTGAAGTACAAAAGGTAAATGAGAAGTATGAAAACTGTTATGACAAATCTCAGGAATAGATATACGCAGAATTTTAATTATATTTTCTACATTTTAGTTACATTTTCTATATTACCATGTTTATAATCTCTACTCCTAAGGCAATAATTGTATTGTTTTATCAAACTCAGTAGGTTATTAACTGAATGCTACTTTTCTGTCTTCTGTACCTATGTATATATTTTTTATTTAGTTACATACTGCATTATCAAAGAAAAGCACAATAATAACCTTTTTTCCTGTCTCCTGACAGCTGCAGAATAGTTCAAATACTGCAATTCTGATCCAAAAAGAATAAGGTCATGCTTTTGCTCCAATTATATTTTTATCCTCAAATGAGAGACAATGTCATTGCAACAGAACATTATTAATGAGGTATATCTGCATATAATGATAAACAACATTTTCTGTATCTTTCATAGATTATTCTAAATTATACCTCAATACTCCAACAGTAGATGTGGTGATATAATAAACATCATTTTGATAATTTAGTTTCGGTAAGTATGAAAGTATGGATAATCCAAAAATGGTTTAATTCAACCTTATTTCTCATTTGTATATTTTGAAATATTTTTAGATCACATTTTCAAACATACCTATAAGTAAACATAAATCCATATAAATTTGCAATTACACTGGCTAACTTTTACTGGTTGGTATTTTAGCTTTATATTAAAAAAGTATATAGGGCCTCCCCTGGTGGAGCAGTGTACTTTGTCGGTCTGCCTGCTCTGTTCCCCACTCTGGCTCTGGTGAATTCTCTTACCCTCCCGTGCTTCTGACTGTACCCAGTGCTTGTATAAATAATAAATAAATAAATCTTTTTTTTTAAAAAAAAAAGTATATATATTCTCTTTGAGCTTTTGATCCATTTCAGTTAAGCATCTTGTGAAGAAAAACAATAAATACAGTAATTATAGTCCTTTTTTTCATCTTAGCATTTGTAAATCTTTCAAAATTAAATTATGTTTACTTAGACTCACCTGTTTAAAGGGGCTTCTGAAAGCATACCCTTACAGTTCAAGAACAACCTCATTTTCATGTTGATAATCTTGCCAAGTACCTATTAGAAAAATATTCCACATTTATATTAAGTAATGTTAGCAGCTAACATTCATTTCCTCCTTACCATATACAGGACTACACTAATACTCTGTATTGTCCCATCTGATTCTCACACAATCCCTTTAAGGCAGCCACTTTCACAGTGAGGCACAGGGATGTTTATCATTTACCCACAATCACACTGCGAGCCATGGCAGAGTGTAAGATTGCAATCCAAACAGCTGACTTCAATAGCCAAGAATTAGACTGCCTACCTTTTGCCTAAAGTGACTTTCTTTCACAGTAATTTAAATTTTCTTAAATAATGAAGTGCAAGTAGAATGATGATGAATCTGAATCTACAAAAATAAACGGGGGACTTCAAACAATGGCAAATGTGCTTGGATGCTTTTGGAATTTTGCCTACCCTGAAGAGCTATAGGCTGAAGTGCTTTGCTAATTTGCTAAAGCTGAAGTGCTTTGCTACATAAAAATAAACACTTTATTTTCATTTTCCTGGAGCATAAGATGTAGGAGAAGTCTTAATTTTGATTCAACAAGTGAAGATTTGAAAGATTATCAGACAACACAGGATATAAGGAATATACAGATTAAGGATTTAAGAGATTTGAATTTTAATTGACATTCGATTATTCCTCATATGTGCATCAAAGGAGGTCTCTGAATCACTCTTTTTCCCAAGTGTTAAATGAGACACTCAATTTTTTTCAATAAATTTATGTGGTATAACATAAATTTATGGTGTAAATTTTCAAGCTTTAGAGTAGAAAATAAATTATGTGAAGTGCTGAGATGCTCGGAAATAAAGAATGCTATTAATACCAAAGATGTAAACTGCAATGTAAATTCCTATTTTATATTTCTATATAGTCCCATATTTCTTATTCCTAAATTCTACCTTTACATAAAAAGCTTCAGAGTTAAGTAATATTTATTTTTCTGCATAATGATCCCAGAAATTGGGAAATTGTTTTTTCTAGATTATGACTATAGCAATAGGGAATTTGTACACTAAAAAAATTCATACTCATGTCTCAAAAAAGTCACAATCTAAAGGTATAAAAAATGCTACAAGAAAAGCAAATCATCTATGGAATTAAGTTTGCTCTTGTTATAGACTGAATAGGTACAATGGAAAATTCTTTCCAAAATTATATGTTCACATTAATCGTACATTTAACAGATATCTATAGTCTCTTTTTCCAGTAAGATTTAGTCATGTAAATATCTGAGAGAAAGTGCATTTTGAAATTGTAATAGAATATACACCAGTATTACCCAGCTTGATCACTTACATCTTTCCCCAGACTTAGTATCTAATGAATTTTATGTGTTTCCAAAAGTGAAGTCAACTATCAAAGGACAAACAGTTTCCACTTCCATGAAAATGTGTGTGTTGAATGTGTCTTTAAAAAAATACCCAGCAATTTCAAATGGGAGTAGTCCCAAACTCTGGACCTAACTAGAAAAAATATATAGCAATTAGCTTATTCAAATTTAACAACCAAAAGCTATACTACATCTCAGAGTCTGATAGCTGTCTCCTAATATTCATTCTCTTCCCTTTCCTGAGTGAAAAGGTTTTCAGGTGGATGCACAATTTCCAGCCTCCCTTATGGCTAGGTATATCCAGATAGTTGATGACCAGCGCTACCTTCTGGCCTGAGGGGTAGCGCTGGATGGAATACATACACCTTTGCGGCTGTGCCTTGATCGTCCCCTTCCTGCTGGCAGAAATACATAGGTGATGTTGGGAGCCTGACTGCTGATCTTAGATCATGAGATAGAAGCTGCCTCATGAAAATGGCTGACCAGCCAGTCCAAAGGTGGCTGGGTCCCTCACGCTATGGAGCTGCCTCAGCAGCCCCAGGTAGCTTTCCACTTGTACTGTAGATGAGAAATAAATTTCAGTCTTGAAGGTACTACTGGTCTGGCCTATGTTATGGTGGCCAAGCCTAAGGAAAACAGCCTTCATGTTCGCCCTTCCCTTAACTCCACTGGTTTGGCTAACATTACTTAACTATACTTTAAGCTTCAACTACTTAAGGTTAGGCAACAGCTTCTCCAGAAGCCATTTTCTGCACTTAGGGAACGATGAAGACAGGAAGACAATTGTTAGTCAGTTTAGGCTGTTGTAATAAAACAGGCTGGGGCTTACACAGAAATTTATTTCTTCTAGATCAAGGGGCAGGCTGATTCTCCTAGGTCTGAAGGCAGTCATCATGTTGCTATTGCTCACATGATCTCTCTCTCTGCATGCAAGAAGAGGGAAGAGCGCTCTCTTGCCTTCTCTTGCATGGCTATCAATACTACTGGATTAGTACCCCATTTACAAGACCTCATTTATCTTAATTACCTTCTAAAGGCACTATTTTTGAAAACTCAATTTTGAATCAGTCACATTAGGGGTTAGGGCTTCAACATATGACTTTTGGGTAAGGAGATGACAATTAATTGCCTAATCGACAATTAGTTGTTCTTACCAACACCTAATCTTGGTATTGCTGTAACATCCAGGGCACAGCACTATCACCTCATGTTCCACACTGAAATATGACAACTATTTAAAATGTATGGAATAAAGAATCAAAAGCACAAATATTTGATTACACTTGAAAACATACTTGCAAAGATTAATTATATAAATTTCAAAATAAAGGGTAGTAATAAAATTTAATAGAAAACACTAAAAATCATTATCTTACGATCAGTAATTGTGCCATCTTCTGTGCTTCTCTTGTCAATGGATCAACAACAGCAATGACATCAAAGAACATATCATCCTCTTGAGGATTTATCTTTATAATGCTAATAAGATGTAAGATGATGAGTCAAGTTTATTCAATTACCTAAGTCATCTAAATCTTAGCTATATACATTCCTGTAAGTTGCTTTATTTCTCACTGGGTTAAAAAAGTGCTTGTTATTTCACAAAAGAAAATGCAAATTTAATAGTCTAAAGTTTGTGTTCAATAAAACATAAAATTGGAAAGAACTAGAGGAAATGAGAGTAAGAGTGTATGAATGGGCATTTTAACTCTTCATGGAAAACACTGTTATAGGGATTCCACTGTGGTGCAGCGGTTGAGCACTGGGTTGCGAAGCTGCCCGCAGGCTTTGAGGCACCAGTTCGATCCCCGGCTGCTCCCTGGCCACCGGAGGAGGGTCCCACATGGCGCGCAGACCTCTCCTGCCGCCTGCTGCTCCCCTCAGCAGTGTACTTCGGTCCTTCTGCCTGCTCTGCTCCCCGCTCTGGCTCTGGTGAATTCTCTCACCCTCCCGCACTTCTGACTGTACCCAGTGCTTGTATAAAAATAAATAAATAAATAAATAAATAAATAAATAAATAAATAAATAAATCTTAAAAAAAAAAAAACCAACAAAAAACACTTGTTATAGTTAAAAAAAAATTCCAGTAATTTAAATCTGTAAGACTTTCACGAGTTAAACAGTGTCAAACACAAAATCAAGATGTTTTTGTGTTAGCGGAATATATGTTCTCAGAGTTGAGAATGATAAAATTAACTAGTAAGTATTTTTGTTGGATTTAGTCTTGGAAAACTGGAAAGTATTATAACAAGGAAGATTAGAGAAAAAAAAAACCCAATTTATTATACTTTGATTTTGATCCCAGTTTTCTTCTCTGAACTTCCTCCCTCTGTCATTTTGTCTTTCATCAATCTAAGTTCTAAGTCAGAAGATAGATTAATCTTTAAAGGAAAATTTTGGGAAAAACTAAATGCACAGAAAAGTGAGAAATAATAAATCATACATTTAAAATAATTAAAAGTAAAAAGTAGATATTTGAACAAAACTGCTTAACATTCAGTTGAATTAGTTTTTAATATTGTAGTAATACTGAAAATCAGTTTTTTAGTGAGTTAAATATTTTTTTAAATCTTTTTTTAAAAGATTTATTATTTTTATTTTTATTTATACAAGAACTGGGGTACAGGCCAGAGGCATGGGAGGGTGAGAGGATTCGCCAGAGACAGAGTGGGGAGCAGAACAGGCAGACGGACCGAAGAAACTGCTGAGGGGAGCAGTGGGCGAGACAGGAGATGTCTGCCTCACCATGTGGGAATCTCCCCGGTCAGCCGGTAATCGAACCTGTGCTGCAGAGGCTGCGGACAGCTTCATAGCGCTGCGCTCAACACACTGCACCACTGGGGAGGCCCAGTGAGTTAAATATTTTACATTGAATCTGTGTATTGTATTTGGTATTATGGCATTGCTATAATGGGCATCTTACCCAAAGCAATACATAGATTCAACGCAATCCCTCTCAAAATTTCAATGGCAACATTCTTCAAAGAAACAGAACAAACATTACTAAAATTTATATGGTACCACAAAAGAAAATAAATAGCTAAAGTAATCCCAACAATGAAGTGAGGAGGTATTATACAGTCAGATTTCAAACTATACTACAAAGCTATAGTAATCAAAACAGTATGATTTGTGTCTTCAGGGACTCAACTCCAAAGGCAAGGTAAACAAAAGCAAAAATAACTGAGACTACATTAAAATTAGAAACTTCTGCACATAAAAGTGCTATCACTAAAACCCTATCAAATAGGAGAAAATATTTGCTTATCATATATTTGACAAGGGGCTAATATCCAAGAGCCACAAAAAACTCATACAACTTGATAAAAAACAGAAAATTCAATCAAAAAATGGGCCTGCTGCATTTTATTTCAAATATCTTAAAGCAACTGTATTATACAGTGAAGTTGTAAACTAGTTTATTATTCTAAAACAGTGCTTTTCTGATGGTCCAGAGGAATCAAATTTTTGAGGCAATAATTTTTTGGAAAAAAAAAAACAACAACTGAATAGCTGCTGTTCAATTAACCCAAAATAAATTTTTGTTTTGTCTTCCTATAACTACACATCTTCATAGCTGATGCACACTGAAAATCTTGCAACCCCATCCCAAAGAAGCAGTGTTCTCTAATCAAACTTGATTACAGAATATACCTGCTAACACCTCCAAGTTACATTCCATAAAGCACATTTTGGGAGGTGCTGTTGTACATATATACATTTTATTCATCAGAATACTTTGGTAACTGAGACTTCTATACATTAAGAAAATAAAAATTGCATTACTTATAATAATTAATCCAAAATACTGAAAAAATTGCAAATGCTCTTGAACATGAAAGATGAGAATAAGACAAATCATACCAGGTATAACTTACTTGAAACATCATATCCTACATCTTAAAACCTTTATTTACTAGACCATATAAATAACTGAATTACTTGTGAAATATATTCATTCTCTAATGAAGAGTTTCCATTTGAACTTTAAACTTTGCTGTATTATATCATGGTAAACATAAATAGAAATCATAATTGAGTATAGGATGCATAGAAGGGGAAAAAAAAAAACCACAGGCACTATTCTTACCTGTGATTCTCTTTAAGAAATGTGACATCAGACCGGGAAGTATGTTTAGGCAAAGAGGAAAAAAGGGCATCAACTTTCATAACAAGATCACTCATGCTAGATGAACAAGATAAACAATGTATGAGTTTTTTGGGATGAGAAAAATTCTGTATTCATATAACAATTAATGCTTCAAGAAAAGGAAATTTAATTTAAAATAACTCCAATACAAATTTTTATACAAATGATTTTCCTTCTAAACTTGTCAGTAAGTAGAATTTGTCAGTTTAAAATAGGTGTCTGCAGAAAAACTAATTCAACTCATCAATCAGTTCAGTAAAGTGGCAGGATACAAAATCAACACGCAAAAGTCAGTAGCCTTCCTACACACAAACAATAAATCTGAAGAAGAAGAAATAAAAAAAAACATCCCTTTTATTATCGAAACAAAAAAAATAAAATATTTGGGAATAAATCTAACAAAAGAGGTAAAGGACCTATACAAAGAAAACTATAAAACACTGTTAAAAGAAATAGAAGAAGACACAAAGAAATGGAAAGACATCCCCTGCTCATGGGTTGGAAGAATAACATTATTAAAATGGCCATCCTACCAAAAGCAATATACAGATTCAATGCTATTCCAATCAAAATTTCAATGTCATTCTTCAAAGAAATAGAACAATTATTGATGAAATTCATATGGAATCACAAAAAACCCCGAATAGCCAAAGCTCTCCTGAAAAAAAAAAAAAGAAGGGAATGGAGGCATCACACTCCCAGACTTCAAACTATACTACAAAGCTATAATCATCAAAACAGCATGGTATTGGAACAAGAACAGACATACAGACCAATGGAATCGAATAGAAAATCCAGAAATAAACCCACAGATTTATGGTCAACTAATCTTTGACAAAGGAGCAAAGACTATGCATTGGAGCAAAGAAAGTTTGTTCAATAAATGGTGCTGGGAAAACTGGGTCGCTACATGCAAAAAAATGAAGCTTGACCACCACCTCACACCATACACAAAAATCAACTCAAAAATGGATTAAAGAACTAGACATAAGACCTGAAACCATAAAATACATAGAAGGAAATATAGGCGAAACACTACGTGATATTCACATCAAAGACATCTTTACAGACACATCACCCAAAGCAGTGACAGTGAAGGCAAAGATAAACAGCTGGGACTACATCAAATTAAAGAGCTTCTGCACAGAAAAAGAGACAATAACTAAACAAAGAGAAATCCCACTGACTGGGAGAACATTTTTGCACACAACACTAATGATAAAGGACTGATCACAAAAATCTGCAAAGAGCTGATGAGACTCAACAACAACAAAGAAAATAATCCTGTCAAAAAATGGGCAGAAGAGCTAAAAAGAAACTTCTCTGAAGAGGAAATGCAAATGGCCAACAAGCATATGAAAAAATGTTCAACATCACTTGTAATCAGGGAAATGCAAATCAAAACTACCATGAGATACCATCTCACACCAGTGAGAATGGCACATATTAAAAAAACTAGCAACAACAAATGTGGGCGAGGGTGTGGAGAAAAAGGAACTCTTCTGCACTGTTGGTGGGAGTGCAAACTGGTCCAACCACTATGGAGAGCTGTGTGGAGATTTCTGGACCTACTAAACATAGAGCTTCCATATGATCCAGCAATTCCACTCCTAGGTACTTACCCAAAGTGCCGCGGACCAGCACAGAGGTGCAGCACCAAAGGACACAGAAACATCAATTCCATAGAGCACCTGCACCCCTATGTTTATAGCAGCACTGTTTACAATAGCTAAGCTTTGGAAACAACCCAAATGCCCAAAAATAGATGACTGGATCAAGAAGATGTGGTACATATATACCATGGAATATTACTCAGCATTCAAAAAAGATAAACACATGCAATTTGCAGCAACATGGATGGCGCTGGAAGGGATCATGCTCAGCGAAATAAGCCAGAAAGAAAAAGAAAAATACCGGATGGTCTCACTCATAGCAGGAATCTAGAAAACTTAAATAAGGGACCAGGAAAATGAATAACTATAAGAAAGTGAAAATCAAAATCAACAAAAAACAATGAACCAGAGACACTCTATGGGTGTTAGGGGGCGGGAGAGGAGGGATTGGGGTCAAAATAAGGGGGTTGCAATTGTATGGGGAATATAAAAATAAAATTTATTATTAAAAAAATAAAATAAAATAGGTGTCTGTTGCTTTTAAAATCATTTTTTTTCCTTCTCAATGATCCATCTTTTTTTAAAAAAAGGATGTATTTATTTATCATACCAGAGCTGGGGTATAGGTCAGAGGTGCAGGAAGGTGAGAGGATTCACCAGAGACAAAGTGGGGAGCAGAACAGGCAGACTAACTGAAACACATTGCTGAGGGAAACAGCAGGCGAAACAAGAGAGGTCTGCCCTGCCATGTGGGTTAGCTCCCCGTCAAGGATCGAATTCATGCTGCAGTAGCTGTCTACAGCTTCATAGTGCTGAGACTCAACCCTTTGCCCCACCAGGGAGGCCCCAATGATACCATCTTTAAACATATAAGTGTTTTCAACATAGTTAACCAATTCTTGCACAGCATGATGAGAACATATACCTTTAACTTATGGTCAGATTAAAATGATCATCAATTTATTTAATTACAAAACAACTTGCTTAGCATTATTTGCATGCATACCATTTAAGACTATTAAAGCAGACATGGCTAGAGTTAAACATACAGGTTTCTGTTGTTTTGGTGGTGGTTTTATTTTGAAATGCAGCTTTAAGGTAGCTAAAATGGCTTTCCAAACCTACTCAGAATTACAAATTACATATAACTTTTTACTGAAAACATTTTTTATTGAAATATAATTGATATGTAACATTGTATATAGTTGAGGTGTATGTAGTGATACATTTACACAGGTGTCGTATATATTACATATACCTATCTTTTTTGGTGGTGGAACAACTAAGATCTAGTTTTCTTTTAGCAATTTTGAAGTTTATAATACAGCACTGATATCTATAATGACCTAATGTCTATGGCATTCGATTCTCAAGACTTATTTATCTAGTAGTTACAAGTCTGTATCTTTTCACCTCTCAGTTCCCCTGTCCGCCAGCCCCTGGTTATCATCACTCTGTACTTTATACTTGACCCAAATGAGGTTTAAAAAATCAGCTCTGAAATGCTAACATTTTCATTACAAAATTCAACAATTACTGAATTAAATGCTTTTCAACATATATTGGGCCTAAATTATTTCTATATATTGTTTTTATTTTAAAGTCTGCTTAGTTTTATTCCATTCAAAATAGCTGAACTTATTATTTAATTCTTATTATAATTTTGTCAGTTTTTAATATTTTAATATGAGAATCATGCACACAACTTTTAGGAAAATGGTTACTTCCTAGGGAAGAAGGATAGTGGGGTAGATGGTAAAAAATCAAAGAGTAAGATCAAGATAAATAAAATATTAACCTCTGCTGCTTGGTGGGGTTGAATAAATGGGTCTCTTCTGTTATGCCTTTACTCTTTGTATGTCTTTTATTCTATCTACACTTGTGTATGTATTTGAAAGATTTTTCTAATCTTAAAAAAAAGGAGATGCAAAACAGCAAACCCCCAAAAGAACTGTTCTTACAATTTTAAATACTTACTTCTTTGAGTTCATGTCCATATTTTCAACAATTCCTTTAATTTTCTCTACTGATTTAGTAAAGGTTATTTTTTCCAATAAATAGAAATCTTCTGCATAGAAATTTTCATCCAAAGGTCCTACAAACTTAAAATAAAAGTACCTGTATTATCATATAACTACATTATATATATTATCAACTACATTATCCTAGAAGGTACCAGTTTGGAACAAATTATCTCATCAAATAAATATTTACTTAATTAAAAACTAATTAGAGATTAAACAGATGGAACTATGGCACTAATCCCACCAAAGGAAACAAGAAGAAAAAAAATTTTCTCACTTTGATATTACAAATAACCATTGTGTAAACACCAAAGTCAAAGTGATGAAAAAGTAACTAATTATTTCTATTTGTAAGTTTCACTTTTTTTTAAAGATCTATTTATTTATTTATTTATTATTTATTATTTTATACAAGCACTGGGTACAGTCAGAAGTGCGGGAGGGTGAGAGAATTCACCAGAGCCAAAGCAGGGAGCAGAGCAGGCAGAAGGACCGAAGTTCACTGCTGAGGGGAGCAGCAGGCGGCAGGAGAGGTCTGCGCGCCATGTGGGACCCTCCTCCAGTGGCTGGGGAGCAGCCGGGGATCGAACTGGCGCTTCAGAGGCTGTGGGCAGCTTTGAAACCCAGCGCTCAACCACTGCGCCACCGGGGAGGCCCTGTAAGTTTCACTTTTAAACATACTTTCAAATACCAAAGTATGAAAAAAATTATCTGTATTTTGCAGACCTTTTGATTTCAATTTTCTTTCCTTTTCACCTATAAATTGTAGTCTATACTATGTAAATACACAAGCAAGGCCTAAAAGAGCAAAAATCAAAAAATGAATCACAGTTACTTATTAATGCCAACCAACCTTCCTCTGAGGTATAAACGGCTTTGAGCACAGCAAGGTCATGTAAGTTAGCTTTAAACCAGTAACTGCAAAGGGAGAAGTTGTCAAATTGTCACATACCTAATTTCTCAGGATGGATATCCTGTAACAACCCTACCATTAGCATTTCCTCAGAAAAATAACACATGACATCATCATAACATGATGAACACAAGTTATGATGCAGAAGGTGAGACTGACATATTCTTATGCACTACACAATTATACTTAATGACAAAATTGTTTGTCAAACACAGTATTTTTTTTCTTGTTTAGAAGACCAGAATTAAATGGTTGCAGCAAATTTCCTCACTTTCCTTTTATCTGCTTCTGCAATTAATATTTTCTCAAAATTAATGAAGTTTAGTTCTTGTTCACAGGAAAGGTGGTATTAGCTGGAATGTTGGCACTACACCTAAATAAATGTTTCACCTTAAACATGAAACATGAACTCTTAAAAAATACCAAAATAGGGCTCAATAATACCAAATTATATATTCCATCACCTTTAGACTTAGACTTATTATAATTTTAAAGCTGTTTTTTGGATTATGAGTAGGACAGGCATGGAAAAAGTTAAATTTTATCTATGGTACCTCTAGAGACTTGAGCAGTTTTGTTAATAATTTCAAGAAATAATATCTCAAATAATTTTTGAAGGAAGTACCAAGATTGGTGGTCTGTACTCATTAAATTCACCAGTGAACCAGCTCGACTGCACATACACAAGGTCCAATGTATGCTGGATAAACAAGTGTCTCAAAGCTACCAAAAGTTGAATATTTCGATAATATTTGTGAAATAAAGTAACTTCAACAACATAAATTAGGCACATAATGTCCAATTTGAGGAAAGGAACATTAAACTTGAAAATCAGTATGATAAACCTTTCTGGTGCTTGCATCTTTTTTTACAACTTGGAAATGTGACTTTTCAGTTATACAGAATAAGTGATGAAACAGAAATTAAATTATCTCCTTTGTCAGTTCATTAAAATGTTAGAAAACTATTAGAACATTCACCCACAACTGAGCTCTCTACACTTGTGATAGTTTCATCAACTGAGCTGAATGTATACTCTCGCTGAGGGTAACACAAATGTATTCACCATTTCTCATGACAGTGATCAAACAGTTAAAGAAAAAACAGGAATTATTATTTACTGAAAAGTTACCTGTGCTTGGAGTTGTTCTATGTGTTTTACGTATGAAAGTTATTTAATCTGACAGCTCTTTAAAATAGACTTTTACCATTCCTATTGTCTAATGAAAAAACTAAGTCTCACAGAGTTGATATAATTAATGATGGAACTGGAATATGAATCCAAGTTTGTCTCATTTTTCAACAAAAACCTCACTTATGTTTCCTACTCTTTGCTACTCCATGTCTTTCAGCAGTGTGAAATGTGATTAAAAAAAAATATGTGCTTATAGCAACAGCAGTGAAATTTTATTTAATATTCAAGATGTGTAAATTTTTCATTCTTTAGCCTATCAGTAAGAAAGTATGAGATAATCACTGCACCTCAATTTTGATTATTTATAAAGAATTTTAATTTTGAACATGTTCCAACTTTAATGTAAAATCTGATCAGGTTCAGAATGAAGATTGACTCTGAAATATCAGGACTATTTCAGCATTAAACTGGTTCAATTATAACTATCTGCACAACTGCTGTCATTATTGTGTTTGATTACATTATTCTGAGGCAGACTAACAAGCTAAGTATTAGAGTTTAAACTACAGTGTTTATTTTCTTACATATTATACTTTTCTATTCAAATTACAGTTCTACATACACAAGGATAATCAAGATATCAATTTCCTATTAGTCATCATAAAGAGGGGACCTAATTGCATACCTATGTCTGTTACTGAACATAATCAAACATAAAGAAAAGCCACGAGAAGCAAAAGCTATCACAATTGTACTCTTTACATCTACTAAAACAGCAGTTCTCATTTGCAGTTTTGTAATAAGCCCTAAATTCTTTGTTCTCATGTTTGTTATACTTATGTTAGAACAAGGTAAAAGCGATCCTCACAGGCACACTCCTTTGTGGATTTAATGTTATCGCCCATGTGGGAAGGCAGTGGTGAAGGAACCACAGTGTGCCCTGAATGGACAAGTCAGCTCCCAGTTTATTTACGTGGAGACCCGCCTGGTATGTCCAGTACTTGAGCACCATCCTCTGTGTGTGTTGCATTCAGTGTGACAGAAAAAAGTTTGAGATCTGCTGTATCATAGTGTCATCGAAAATGTGAGCAAGTGCTTTTCTACTTACTTTCCCATTGCTGACGACACCGATTTCTCCAGGACTCAATTTAAGTACATCTTGACAGAACAACTGGTGAGTTCGGAAAATATTCACTCCAATAGTATTGTATTTTTTCTCAAAAGCACTCTTATCCACCCCCTACAGTATAAGTTAAAGATGATAAAACTATATAACAAGAGAACAGTGAGTATACTACATCATCTTAACGAAACCTATTTTAATTAATGTATTAATATAAAAGTGAAAATTATAACATTTGCAAGTCTGGTTACAAGCAGATAAAGTGTATTCATTCTTTGAGAATTTCAGGTGGGTTACTGGTAAGTAAAATGCTAGTGAGCATCAATTTAAATAAAATTTAACATTAAGAAAATGAAATGTTTTTTAATTACAAACCACAATTTTGGTGTACTGAGTGGGGGAAAAAAGTGCTTAAAAAAGGAATGACCATACCATGATCTCAATACCATAAAACTAATTTAGTAATAGTGAACTCACATTCTAAAAAATGTAACTCTTCGTCAGAGTCAAAAAATTTGTGGACACTCACAGAAAATAAAACACCAACAGGTGGCTTACATTTTCGTATTAAGACATAATTCTCCGTATCAGTACTTATCAAGCTTTAACGCGCATACAAATTACCTAGGTGCCTGATAAGAATGTAAAATCCACTTCAGCAGAACCAGAGTGGGGCTTTAAATTTCTAACAAGCTCCCTAGGGCTCCTGTGCTGGCAGAAATGCTGCCCCTGCGATGTCTAGTGTGGTGGCCACAGATGCTTATTGGCAGGAAATCTCTGAGCTTGCTGTGAATAGTGTGGTGATTGCTCAATAGTGTTGATGTTTGAATAATACTATTCTTTTCTTTGGACGTTGTTGTGTTCCTGAACCTGGTATATTCTCACAGACTTTCTACGGCTTGATTTCTCATTTCATTCTGAGCTCTGCTCAAAGGCAAACTTGTAGAGATCACTTCACTGACTACTGCAGCTAAAAGAACATTCATACCCCAAACTCTCTACTCTCTGACATGTCTTCAATCACTTCTCCAATACCAACACTTTGTCCTCCCCACTACACTGCAAGCGCCACTGGAGCAGGGGCTCGATCTGCCTTCTTCACAACCTTACCTCCACCGCTAGAGGAAAATCAATAAATATTTAATAGATTAATGAATCTTTATTCTAGAAGATCATTTTCTACGTCTAGCATTTCCCTGTACTGGACTTCTTCAGTGAAACACCTGGTGATTATTTCCATGATCCTTTCACTCTCATTTCTTCACATAAGTACACACCCTAACTAGGATGTCATCAACTTTATGGATCATGAAGTAGTAGTTGAAACATATGAGACTCTATTTGTTAAATGCCTCTATGCAAAGCCACATCACTTATTATTCACAATTAAACATGCTGATAGTTTTCAGTAGCACAGTATCTCCAAGTACACCAACTTATACTTTAGAAATATGCTACAGATAATCAGTTATTATTTCAAATAGCTACTGACCTCAGTAAGGAATGTTTTAATTTTATCTCCAGAGTAAACAGCTCTCGCAGTTTCTTCCTTTGACAGCTTCCTGAGAAAGTTTTTCAAAAAGCTGTTTTTCTGCGTAAGAAAAGCTGCCAAAATTCCTCTGGAAATAGCTGTGTTCTCTTCATTTATTTTTGATGTAGGGTTATAAATAACCCCCAACCGACTATGAGCACTGGCTTTCTGCAAAACACAAACATAGGTGAAAAAGATCAGTATTCTACATATCTTTTCACATTTGAATTTCTTCCTTTCGAATCAAGTTCTTCACTTCACCATAAGTATCTTTCACCGTCAAAGCTGACTACTGAATGTGGTATATCACTGAATTAGCCAAAAGCAATCATTTTAGTAATGCTAATTTAATTTGCCTCACCTCTTCACATGACTCTTTTGTAATGCAATACTTTTTTTGAACCTCTTTAGGTGTGTATGAGATAACACACATAAAAAATACACAAAACAAATTTTAACTAATAAAGTACCATTCCAGTCAAGAAATAGGGCATTGTCAGCAACCCAAAGGATTCTCTCATATCATACCAATTTTAATACATTTGAATTTTTATAGAGACAACCACTGTCCTGTCATATGTGGTAACAACATTCTTGCTTTTCTATTTTCCCAACTAAGTTTGTATTATTAAACATTTATTTCAAATATGTACTCTATTTCAAATGTAATCACTCAATACACATTCTTTTGTGCTTGTTTTCCACTCAATGTAATGCTTGTGACATTCATCAACACTGTTTTGCACCATGATATGAACAGACTCTCTTTACTGATGCTGAACCTTAACATGTGATTTCTGTAGCAAAATCATTAAAGATACTGTAGTTTCTACCTACATCTCTTTACCACTCATTCCAGGAGATACAACTGTCATGTTGTGAGGAGACTAAAGCAGCACTAAAAAGAGGCCTATGTGGCCATGGAATGAAGTATCCAATTAATAGTAACTGGAAAACTGAGGCTTCCTGCCAAGAGCCATCTTAGGTGATCCTCCAGCTTCCCTCAAGCTTTCAGATGACTGCAGTCAATCATGACTGCATCCCTACAAAACCTCAAGCCTCAACCCTTCAGCAAAGTCACTCCTGAATTCACAAAACCCAGAAACTGTGAGAAAATAAAAGTTTATCGTTTGAAGTCACTAAGTGATGGGATAATTTGTTACATAGTACTAGATTTACACTTAGCTAACACAAAACAATTTCATGCAATTTTGCTTATGTTTCTTAGGTATTTTTATCTAGACAGACTTACACCTTCCTTTAGAAATACAGACGTTTGTAAAAGAACCCTTTCAAGTAAATATAGAAATGTATCTTATAGAAATATGTAAGTTTGTAATTACTTAGTAACAAGAAATTAAGGTTGACTTATGGCTTAAAATATTCTTTAGTAAGAAAAATGGAGTTTTATTCTTAGAGAATGAAAATGCTGCCAAATGTGATGAAAAATTGTTCTTACAAACAGTTGGTAAAATGTTGATGTGGGTCACTGAGGTTTCTGTTGGGTCACTGAATTTATGGTATGATCTAGAACCATTCCCTTTAACAGCCATTTTTTAAAAAAGATTTATTTATTTATGCATACAAGAGCTGGGGTACAGGCCAGAGATGCAGGGGGTTGAGAGGATTCACGAGAGACAGAGTGGGGAGCAGAACAGGCAGATCTACTGAAATGCACTGCTGAGGGGAACAGCGGGCATGACAGGAGAGGTCTGCTTCACCATGTGGGTTGCTCCCTGGCTGGCTGGGGATCGAACTCATGTTGCAGAGGCTGCGGACTGCTTCATAGTGTGGTGCTTAACACCTTGTGCCACCAGGGAGGCCATAACAGCCACTTATAACCATTATGTCTGAGTCCTCTTTGGTTGCTACAGCAAATACTAGAGACTGGATGCTTTATTAGCAACAGAAATTTATTTCTCACAGTTCTGAAGTCTGGAAGTCTGAGATCACAGTGCCAGCATAGTGAGGTTGTCGTGAGGGCCCTTAACCAAGTGTAGACTGCCAATAAGACCTATCCGCACATGATAGAAATAAAATGAGCTAGTTTGTAAACCTCTTCTTAAAAGTCCCATTCAAGAGGACTTTACCCTGATGACTTAGTTATCTCCCCCAAAGGCACCAAATCCAAATACCATCATCACATTGGGGATTATAATCAAACATATGAATTTTAGGGAGGCATAAACATTCAGTCCATAGTCAATAGCTAACATGTATGCCCAATAGCAAGGGTTAGGAGAGAATACATAGGTCAGAAATCAGGGGAGACAAATAGGGTTTTCTTTTGCTGCACCAAAAGTTACCTGTTTTACATGGAGACTGAATCTGAATTTGTCTTAATTATCTTTAGCACCTTATTCTAACCAAGTAAAGGTAATTAAAACAATAACATGGAGAAGAATAAAGATTTAACACAAGTTCTTTACACTGCTTTCTCAAAATTATGACAAATTAAGATTTTCATAAAAAGAATATCTAGGGCCTCCCTGGTGGCGCAGCGGTTGAGCGCTGGGCTGCGAAGCTGCCCGCAGCCTCTGCAGCACCGGTTCGATCCCTGGCTGCCCAACGAGGGTCCCACATGGTGCGCAGACCTCTCCTGCCGCCCGCTGCTCCCCTCAGCAGTGTACCTCGTCACTCTGCCTGTTCTGCTCCCCGCTCTGGCTCTGGTGAATTCTCTCACCCTCCCACGCTTCTGACTGTACCCAGTGCTTGTATAAATAAATAAATAAATAAATAAATAAATAAATAAATAAATAAATAAATCTTAAAAAAAAAAAAAAGAATATCTAGATACTCACCATATGCTTTAATGCATTAAAAAGCAGTTTTCTCCCAGATGGTTTGTCAAAATCAGCAATAATCCAGAAAGTAACTGGAGAAATTATGCTGTCATCTGAAGTTTAAATAGTTTAGTCAAATTAATTCTTTTAAAACTCAAACTAAAAGGCACTAGGTGTTTTCAGTTAACAAGCTACTTAAAATTTTAAAATCAATCTTTCTGAAAATAAGTATTACTAAAAATTATACATACTCACAGAACAACAAACACAAAAATGCTTCAAAGGTCAAGTAATTCATTATATACGCTTTTGTAAACTCAGACACTGAAAACAAAGAACAGCCCCATAAGGACTTGTCTGCAGGACACATTTACCTGTAGATAAAATGTGCCTATCATGGTTCTAGGGTTGGCAAGCAAGACTTCCAGCTATATTTGTAAAAAAAAGTTGGTACTTACATCCCTCCCATATTCAAAACCAGATATAATCAACTTATTAGTGGATACTGAAAACAACCATATTTTATTAGTTTATGATTCATTTACTTCAAAATGTCTAGCTGTCATTAACTTGCTCTAATTCATTGCTCTAATTCATTTCATTCTAGTTTTTCTTTGGAAAAACTAGAAAATTTAGAAGCTGGAGCAAGAAACAATTAACTCTGAAATCACAGTTAAGTGGGTATAACACCTGAAATTGTATCTGCCTGGTCATCACTAAAAACTGTAGAAAAATTAGTCCTTTGGATTACATGACCCACATAAAACAATTGTAAAAAATTTGCTATACCAAAAACTTACTACTGAATAGATGTTGAAGTTATTACAAAATCAGTAATATCTGACTATACAAAAACTGACATTGGTTAATGAAAGAAGTAACAAAGGAAAACACTGATTTATTTGCAACCTTCAGAAACCACTTACAAGAGTGAGGCAATAGCACAATCTTTTCAAAGAAAGGGAGGACCTCCCTGGTGGCCTGTGGGTTAAGGATCAGAGCTCTCACCTTTGTGGTCTGAGTTCGATCCCCAGCCAGGGAGCTAACCCATATATAATGTAGCAGATCTCTCCTGTCTTGCCCACTGCTCCCTGTTGCAGTGTATTTCAGTAAATGTGCCTGTTCTGCTCCCCACTCTGTCTTTGGTGAACCTTCTCACCCCCCCATACCTCTGGCCTACACCCCAGTTCTTCTATGCAAAAAAAAAAAATTAAAGAATTCTGATGCCCTTCTTAATGTCAGGATTTTACCACCATCACAGCTAGTAAACTGAGAAATATTTCTCAAGTGCTAAGTAATTTTCTCACAACTCTATTACCCTTTTACACATTTACACAAAAGCAAATAAAAGGAATTTGTTTCTCAGTACTTATTTAATTACAAAGCAATTAACCAACCAAGGGGCACCAACTATTCTGATGCCCAAAGGCAATGTTCAGAATATAACTCAGAACCTGATAAATGCTTCTCTCTCTTCTTTTGATTCCCAATTTCTCTGTCTCTTTTACCAATCACTTGAAACATTTATGCCCTCAGCCTGCCCTAACATGGAACTATATCTTATTGTTGGATTTCTTACAGACAGATCACTTTATCTCATCTTATATCACCCTCATTGTTAGAAAGTTACTGTTTGCTATACTGAAAAAAATAAGCTTTCTTTTATCTTTTATTTATTGGCACACATTTTTTTCTCTAGAGCAAAGCAGCTCAAACAAAACAAAGCAACCAACACCCAACCAACTCTAGTGGTCTTCATCTATTTGGAGAGTTCATTGTGCCCTCACAAGCCTGCAGACTATGCCATCCAGGTTAAATTCTTATATCCAAATATGTTCCTGTCATGGTCCTCTACTTGGGACCAAACCTTTAGATGCTGTTTGATCAGTGTGCAGAACTATTCTCTATTGATCCAGGAATTACACATGTATCCATGCACCATAAGATCAGATTACATAGTCCTGAAAGAACTTTATTGCTTTCTTTAAAAGGTAAAAAATGGAATAAGGGCAAAAAACATCATGAACTCTTCAGCACATATGATTAGCTAGGGCAGGAGGCATCATGTTCTTAACACAAGGCTTAAAGTCTTAACAAGTTATAAACTCTCAAATTGAAAAACTAGGTCTCTAATCAAGTATCAATGAATGAAAAAATATTATGCAAGCACCTTACTAAAAACCACAAGTTTTTGCTACTTTAGGAATAATTTCAGAAGAATAAAATATGCTTATTACCTTCTTGAGTTAAATAATGCAGGTTCTTTGCAATTACAGCACTCTTATCTTGTGAATCCAAGAAAAAGAAAGTGGAGAAATCTTCCACATCGGCAGTTACTGAAAATTTTCATATTAAATGTTCATTAACAAATTAACAAAACATTCACAACTCAGTATTAACATTGTAGAAAAATATATGGGAGGATTATTTTACCTGATGTAGATATTAAATTAAGGTACTGCCATTTAGCAGGCAAAATCAAAGGATTTATGCGGGGTACAACATTATCCTTCTCCATAAGGAAATCAATTGCCCTTGTTTTATCATTTAATGTACCCTAAAATAGCAAAAATGGTTATTTAGGTAATATAGATAACTTACATGCTTATGTTTTAACGTTATGTGGAGAATATGTTTAAAGGCCACTTAATCTAAAATTTACAATTTATACTTTAGGATTCTTCAAATTTTCCTCTAAGAAATCTGAATTTTCATTACATTTAAGAAATTTTTAGATGTAAATTACACACAGAAAATTTATATAATTACTTTTTAAAATCACTTCTAAATGATCAGGATGGAATTTTTTAAAAATTAACTTGATATTAAAAGATTTTTAATATAAAAATCCTTTATAAATATCATTCATCACATATTTTCTCATAAATCTTACCTACCATAATAACGTCCCTCTGTAAATATACTGTAGCATCCATCATTTTGTGAAGAACAGCCATTTCTAGTTCTTCAGCATTCAGTTCTTCATGGTTAAAGAGTTCACCATTGTAAAGAGCTTGAGGCAAAGGACCCAGGCCAGTCATTTTATAAAAATTTGCTCCTGCCTATTCAATCAAAAAATACCAGACAGTAGAAGAGAATAAATGGCTGGCTGAAAAAGAAACACACAACAAATGCACAGTGCCACATTTTTGTATACAGTACAAAAAATGTTAATTTTGCTGATTTCTGCCCTTTCCAAACATTACAAAAAGGATTACTCACAGAGTGAGAATCAGGAAATGTCCTGGAAAGAGGCAGAGAGTACACAGTTTAGGTTTTGTGGGCCCATCTCTGCTGTAACTTTTCAACTGATGTCATAGCCCAAAAGCAGCCACACACAACAGGATGACAGAACATGCCTATGTCCTCAAATGAGCATATGTACAAAACTAGGTGGTGGGAAAGTTACATGTGGCCCAGTGTTTGTAGTTTTCTGACATTGGAAATAGGAGTGTAACACTTTTTTTTAAATGCACTTACCTGCATAAGAGACTCACTTATCCCTGTATTGATTTGTTTAATAAACATTTATTGAATTCATGCCACCAGCATTAGGCTAGACCTGTGAGTATAGAGCTGAAAATATTTTCTCAAGGAGTTCACAAACACAGAAACAAAATGGAGGCAGATACAGCTTTATGGGAGCCCAGAAAAGAAGTTCAGACTAGGCTTGAGTCTGGGGAGGAAGAGTCGGGAGAAGGCCTCCGTCAGAGAGTGACACTGATAGTCTTAAAGGATGAGTAAAATTTGCTAGGCAGATAAAGTGGAGAAAAACAATCCAAATGAAAAGAGACAACAGTGATTCATATAAAGAAAAAAAAAAGGTAAATCAACCAGGAGAAAACTTTTTACTCTCAAATAAGAATTCTTTTTTTTTTTTTTTTTTAAGATTTATTTATTTATTTATTTATACAAGCACTGGGTACAGTCAGAACCGCGGGAGGGTGAGAGAATTCACCAGAGCCAGAGCGGGGAGCAGAGCAGGCAGAAGGACCGAAGTACACTGCTGAGGGGAGCAGCGGGCGGCAGGAGAGGTCTGCGCGCCATGCGGGACCCTCCTCCTGTGGCCGGGGAGCAGCCGGGGATCGAACCGGCACTGCGGAGGCCGCGGGCAGCTTCGCAACCCAGCGCTCAACCGCTGCGCCACCGGGGAGACCCTCAAATAAGAATTCTTAATATCACCATTATGTATCTATCACTCAGGCTTAAGAGAAAAGGTATTTGCAGAAGTGTTGGTCTTTAAGGAAGGCAAGGTCTGAATAGAAATTGTGCTCTACCATTTAGTAGCAAGCAAAGAAACCATTTCTATTAAACAAAGAGAACAGGAAAGAATAAACACACAATGCATAATATGTAAATGCAGAATTACTTCCAGCACTCAGCTGATGTTAAAACCCAAGTGGGGAGAACTTCTGCTTCCCAAAGTGGAAACAGACCCTTCTCTCCAAAGTCCCCTGTGCTTCTCCTGCAGGAGCACACAGTCATCACAAGAAGTTTCTGATCCTTTCCACTCATGATTCAGAATTCCTGAAGAGTACTTGCAAAAATCAGAATTTTCTTTCTAAATTTGTGTGCCATAACTACCTTTATTAAAAGAGATGTCTGTTAGGCAAGTTGGGCCTAACAGAAAGCTCATTTTTGTTGCAATAATCATATAATTTTAAAAGTCTTCCTTCTGGGCCTCCATGGTGGCGTGGGGTTTAAAATGTCAAGCTATCGCCAGCCACTATGGCATGAGTTCCATCCTCAGACAGGAAGTAGACACACAAGGCACAGCAGACCTCTCCTGTCTCATTGCTGCTCTCCTCAGCAGTGTATTTCAGTCAGTCCGCCTGTTCTGTTACCCATTCTGTCTCTGGTGAATCCTACCTACACCTCTGGCCCCTGTACCTCTGGCCTACACCCCCTGCACCTCTGGCCTATACCCCAGTTCTTGTATGCAAAAATAAATACAATAATATTTGCGGAAAAAAAGTCTTCCATCAAAAAGTCAGTAATAGCAACTTGAAGACTGCATACAACTTGGGTCACTTAAAAGTTCTAAAAAGGCTTCTTTACATCGTTTCTGAGGGTAACATCCAAATTATAAGCTAGTTACATTGAGATAATTTATTCATAGATTATAATAAAATTTCCTTGGATCATTATTTTGAAAATTTGCATTCAAACTTACCTTTCTTTCATTATCATACTTGGAATGTATTCCCAAAATATCCCAAATATCAGCATGAGGAAATTTATTTTGGAGGATACTCTTTACATTTTCCACAGTGAGTATATTTTGTTTCTTCACCTCTTCGTACATCTGTGGAAATTAAGTATAATTAATTTTCATCTTGCAACAATAAGTTTTACCTTTTCCCTTAGCATGTAAATTTATAAAATAAAGAACACATATTTTGTAAGTTTTAAGCATACTCTGTAAATATATATATCCAAACACCCCACATATACAAAGAGATTGTTTCAACCACACAACAGATCATCCAATAAAAGTGGTTGTGTGACTATTTCTTAGCTTTCACATTACATGTTTCTATTTTATTTTGATCAAACTAGATACTGTGATTCTTAATGGTTACCTTTATTTGAAAAAAAATATATAAAATGTTTTCAATGCAGTATTTCAAAAATGCATTAACTTCATTTCTGATTGCTCTTCAGTATTTTGACTAGATTTTCTCTGAACCACCGTTCCTCCCCTCCATGATCTAAATACACTTAGATAATTTAAGCTGTTGTTACTCCTTTATTGTTATGGTGTCACTTTTGCCTGTCCTATCGATGGACCAGGAAAAGGAACATTACGTGTCCTGGAGAAGCACGGTGTCTCTCCCTCCCATTCCCATTTCCCTCTGCTCCCCAGATACAGGGTCTTCTTGGTAGAGCTTACCATGCCTTTTTTCTTACTGAGGTAACATTGGCCACAACACTTTGATTTAGCCGAACAGGCTCACAATGCCTTGGTGTATATTACCACCCAGCCCTACCATCCAAGCACCCACAGCCCTCTGACCCTAGTCCACTGGGCTCCCTCCCTCGTTTCCACCAAATTATCCTAAATTAGTGAAGCTAAGTCAACTGGGGGACAAAGCACACTCCCAACAGAATGCTGGTTCAAAAATTTTACTTCCCTATGTATAAGATAAAAATATATGGGGGTGACAAGTAGACATAGTTTGAATAACCACCACCATTCTCACATTTCCAACCCCAGTGCATTCTAATATGTGCTTTCTAAGTATTTCTTCCTCATTTCCCCCTCTTCTTCCTCTAGTTGCTTAGCACAACTCACAGGCAATAGTATATAGCTCAAAAGGTAAGTGGTTGACAAACATGTCATCACATGCAAATTAATGTCTAATGTGAAATGCTTACAGAGTTATCTCTATCAACAGAGATAACTAAGATAACTTAGAGATAACTTCAGAAGGTCTTCAAGATTCTTAGTTTTGAATATGATACTGGCCCTTTTACAACAATATAGTTGGAATTTCATAAAAGACCTAAGATGACCTAAATTCCTTAATCAAATCAGTAAAATTAACACACTGAGATAGAGTACTGGTACATATTCTAAATGACAATGTGTACTCTTAAGTCAGTGAAGTCTAAGGTAATTTCTATACCCTAGGGCAGTGAATCAATGAGGTAGGTAGTGGTTTTCTTGGTAATTACAGAAAATTACTAGGAAATTTATACCACTTTGGTAATTTCATACATAGGTTAAAGGACAATCATTCTGTGTTTGACAAGTCAAAAACCAATAGACACAAAGATGAATAAAAGTTATTTTTTAAGTTATAACCTGAATTTAATAAAACAATATAGCACTTAATACATTTATATTTCCATGATGAATCATAACAGTTACAAAACCTCAATTATGAAATAATCTTATCTCTTATTCTTCTTTAATCTGGTTCTTATCAATTTCTGTCTATTTTTACAGTTTCTTTGTCAGACTCAGTACTGATCTTACCTTTCCACATGAATTTGCTCTCATGAAGTGACCTCCTCATTTGAAATTCTCTAGGAAGTGTCTAAATACCTTGTTATTTAGACTAACTTCTCAATATATTTTTCTATTTATGATTTTATTTAAGAACTGGTTCAAGATTTCTTCTACAATGAATCATATTCTACTAATTTTTTCCCTCTAAATTTACATATATACAATTTAAATTCCTTTATTGGTTGGGTAAATTCACATATTTGGCAAAGCTTCAGTGGCCTAATTTAAAAAAGTATGAACTGTAGTTGAGAGCTGCAAGAATCAAATTCATGGTATTAGTCCCTATGATAATTTTTATAAACTCTGAGATGTTACAATAAATAATTATAGTATTGCAAAAAAACTATACATACAAAAGAAATTATATGTACTGGATAAACTCACATGCACCATGGAAATAAATGCTTGTGATACATCCTGTTTCTCTGTAATATAGTTGAAAGCTCGCCAAAGAGCAACTCCAGCATCACTGGCTCCATCAACTTCATCATCTGTATTAACAATGAACACTAAACCAATTCTAGGAAAAGAAAATGAATAAGGAACAATGCAACTACCTTTTTAATCACAACAAAGCATTTTTAAAAAAACATTAGACTATAACATCCAAATGGAGGGAACATGTTAGTAAATGGTAGAAAAAGGAATATTATTATTTGAAAATGTTTGATTTGTAACATATACATCAAAATCTTCCCATTGATTAGATCCCTCCAAAATGTCAAATTCTCTCTAGTGGTGACATCACCAAATTATCCTTTTTTCCCTCCCCCAGAAATAAGGGTGCAAAGAAAGTGTACTTTTTTTTTTTTTTTAAAGATTTATTTATTTATTTATTTATACAAGCACTGGGTACAGTCAGAAGCGCGGGAGGGTGAGAGAATTCACCAGAGCCAGAGCGGGGAGCAGGGCAGGCAGAAGGACCGAAGCACACTGCTGAGGGGAGCAGCGGGCAGCAGGAGAGGTCTGTGCGCCATGTGGGACCCTCCTCTGGTGGCCGGGGAGCAGCCGGGGATCGAACTGGCGCTGCAGAGGCTGCGGGCAGCTTCGCAACCCAGCACTCAACCACTGCACCACCGGGGAGGCCCAGAAAGTGTACTCTTAACATGACCCAAGGGAAATGGATCTTTCTTTAAGTACCCAAAGTGATCAGATCATTTCTCAGGAAGGTAACAGGGCAAACAAGATTACCAAGCAGTTCTGATTAACAGTCTACCAAAAGGTATATGATGCTCAACACAACACACAGCTACACTGCATCACTGTTTTGAGTTTCACACTAACAGTCTGTAATATGTGAATATTCATGATATGATAATTTAATGTTGTAAATTGACAATTACCTAAGAGGAATTTTATGAAAATAGAAGAGCTTGGCAAGTTTTATAAAATCCAAGGCATATTCTTGAGCAGGATCAATAAACAGAACCTAAAAAAGAGTAGGTAGTCTCTGATCACTATTTTGTTTTAACACTTTAGAACTATGAAAATCAAGCTTAGTCTAGTTTCTGTAGCTAAAAGTATGAAATTCAAGGTACGATTTTTTTAGAAATTTAAGACTTTTGAGGAATATGTATAAGAAATAATTTCAGTTTATGAAGGATTTCTCAAAGCTGCATATCCAAATATAATAATACATGGAATTTAATATAAAATTACTTATTTTCTTTTTGAAGTACAACAAAGTAAATGTTTTTACAAGTGAAATACCTTAATTGTTGAATTTTTTAAATAGAAAGATTAATTTTGATCAAAAATAAATAGAATTAACAAAATTATTCCTGGGAAATAAGATCCTCACTTCCTATGTTGAAAAAGAAAAATAAAGCACTGGGCATTTTTGCTACATTTCAAAGTTCTACAAAGTTGTTTAATATTGTAATAATGAACTAGCATGTTAAATTATAAAGCAGTATTTACAGTATTTATATATTATTCCCTGAAATGTACTAAACACATTAGTTCAGTCACTTGTTCTTTATAATACAGAAGAAAAGTTCAATCACAAATTCCTTTGAGAAAATATAAAAGTAACTCAATAACTTAACATTGGTATATAGTTGCATGAGGGCATTGTAACAAGGGGCAGATTATATGCTGCTGCTCATTTTGGGTGGTCAGTCTTGTCACCACCTCTCAAGCTTCCTCTATTAGGCAAATCCTTCCTTATTACTCACATGACTATCAAGAGCCAGGTAATCCAAAAAGAATGATATGTTTCAAAAAGAGGTATACAAAATATCAAAATATAAAACTCACCAAATTGTGAAAATTACGCCTTATGGAAGGTATACTCCCAGGGAATACTGGCTTCAAAAGTTCCTGGCAACTTGTGGGCCACGTAACATACATATGATCACTTTCTAAGTCATTAATCCACTAGAAAAGAATCCGGAAATCTGTAAAAGCTATATTAAGATGCTACATAAATCATTTTCAAAGTCAAATTTCACTATCAAATGCCAAGTGAAAATATACACAGGATTTTTAATATTTCTGATATAATATAGGAACCCAGCTGAAGTTCTTTACTTTAAAAAACAGATTCTGTGCAACACTTTTATACTGGCCTATTCAGGCTTCCTTTCAAAACAATTTTTCCCCATGTTTTTCATATGAAAAGATACAATTATATAAAAATCATGCTCAGTAATCCATTTAAAGCAAATAAATATTTACCTTAATTATCAACAGTATATGAGGCAATGAGAGCCCTCCACCTCCCTCTCAAATTTATAGGCTTGGACAAGAAAAATAAAATACCATATAAAAGTAAATTGTAAAACCAGACCTTGGACATTCAATTCTAATCAAGATGGAACAATTTATATCAGACCATTGTTTCACTGCCTGAAGCAATGATAAAAGCTGGACAAAACATAAAGTCTATTGTTCAGAGGCATGGAGACAGGGGACGGGGGTCAGCTAACAATAAAGAACCAAGGATTTATAATCCTTCAAAGTAGGGGGCATAAGATCCACATTCACCTCAACTTTGTTGCTGGGGGTAGGTTCCAGGAAGAATGGTGTTCAAGCAGAAAGTGACAGTCATACTGGGCTAGAAAGAAGTTAAAGTTCGAGCTGCCAAACTGGTGGGATTTGAGGGGCAGAAATCCAGGGGAGGAGAAAACTGGGGGGAAGAAACCAAAAATCTCCACATTCCTGTTAAGCCACTTGTTGACTAACAGCTGCCAAAAAGGCAGGAGAGACAGAGGCTGGGAGGCTGAAACCGCACCCATGTTATGGTATTGAGGAAACAGGCTGGAGTTCAAGGTGGAAACTTTGCTAAATGTACTTTCATTTGAGACCTAGGGTCAGACCTCAGAAGTGAGACACAAAAATAGTCTCTCACAAGGCATAAAACAAATCTCAATAGAATCAACCTGGGACCTGAACTGCCAGAACTAACCTTACGGCTTTTTGGTGCTATAACTTTTCTCAGTAACTCTGGCTTTTATTAGAACTGTCAAGGACCAAATATTGTAATCCAAAAGAAAAAGAAGACAACAGAAAGGGTCTTAGGCCAGGAAGTTACTGGCCTAAGTAAATTACTGTGATTGATACATTTTAAAAAGATTAAAAGTAGATGGGAAGATGAAAAATATACACAGATAACTAAAATGTATTTTAAATAGGGATGTTCCAGAATTTAAAAAACAAGAATTTAAATTAAAAAATTAAATATCTGTATTTTGAAACTATAACTTAATTACATAGTTTATATAAAATTCAATAATTTAATTGCAGACCATACACAGGGATTTGTAAACTGGATGACAGATGAATACAACATATTAATTAAAGTACAGGAAAAAATTGGGAAATCAAAACAAAGTTTAAGAGAGATGACTAACACTGACAAATGAGCTAAAATAAATGTAGCTGAAAGTCCTAAAAGAGAGAAGGGAAAGAATGAGACAAAGTAATGCTTAAAATAATTACAAGGGGGCTTTTATTTCTACCATATTTTGTTCTAGTAGTACTGGCATAGAAGGGGTAATGTTGGTCTTTCTGAGAAAGTCTGTAATATGCTACCTGTTTATATTTCTGAGATAATTCTTGCCCAGAGGTAAAGGTAAAAAGAACAGTTCCAAAGATCCTCACAATCTGTGAGGACTCCCCTCTGAACTGCTGTCAGTTCAATGTTTTTCTATGGGATTCATTGGTGGTCATCATAACTCCCAATTTTGAAACTGACTAGAAAGCTACAGTAGTCAAACAGTGTGCTGCTGGTATAAGGTAAGATATAGTTCGAGGGGCGGAGCAACATGGCGGCGAGGAGACGCTGCGAGTAAGATCTCCCATTAAAAAAAGTTAATAGGGAGGAAAAGCGGCAGGTCCCAGTGAGAAGTGGGACACGGAAGATAAACGGGTGACGCCAGCAAACTGCCCGAAGAAGAAAGTGGCCATAAAAGAGGGCTAGAAGGGAGGGAAGCGCAGAACCCTGCTCCCCTCCCCCGCCCACAGAGGCGGCACTCTCCGACCGGCAGAGAGGAGGAAAACAACAAACCAAAACGGCCAACAAGAACAAACGACGCAGCAAGCGGGACTGTGCGTGGACAGGAACTATGGCAGCCACCACACCCCGTGAACGGGAGCTGTGGAGAACCCTGCAGGATCCGCCGCGGCGGTGAGCGAACGGCTCCGGGCGCCATTAGAGAAGAACAAAGACCCCAGGAGACCCGCACACAGCCCGGGCTGCCGGTAAGCTGGCGCGGAAACGCGGCGCGCTTGGCGCTTGGATAGCGGCTGCCCAGGTCCCTGCGCCTGCGGAGGCCCTCCTCACTGAGGTGAAAGTCCCTCCCTGGGTGAGCAGGAACCAGGCGCCCAGGCACGGGAGCGGGTGCAAAAGGCGCCATTCCCGCACCACTGAACTGGGCTACAGCCTGTGTCCTGGACCTGAGGGCTTTGAACTGAGACCCGGGGCACGAAATTCGGGGCGTGGGTTCTCCACGACGGTGGGGCACAAGGCAGACACAGCACCCCAAAGCCGTTGAGGTTTACCCTACCATTCCCGCTCTGTTCCCTGTCCCACGGGGTGGGGGGAGGCGAAAAACAGCCCCCCAAGGACAATAGGAGAGATCTCTGGCACCACCTAGCGACCAGAAAAAAAAAGTCACTAACACCCCATAGAACAGGAAATTTCTTAAGACTGCTTGAAAAGGGCAGAAGGCTTCTGGAGGACCCAGTGGCCAGCTGGGAAGTTAGCCCACGCCAGGCCCCTTCCGACCAGCAGTCTGAGCCCACAGAGGGAGCAGGCACCCACGTCCGGGGCAGACCGGGCGCGCAGAAGAGTGTGCCTGAAACCGGAGGCGCAGGGACTGCATCCCGCTTTGCCATTTTAGAACAGGGACATTTCTTCAGTCAAGACTGCCTAAAACCAGCAGAAAGCTCCCCCAGAAGGCAGAGATGGCTCCTGGAGGAGCCAGAGGGGAGCGGAGAAGTTCACCCAAGATGCCAGCCAGTCCGAGCAACACAGTGTCCCAACGCATACGACAAATTAGAAAACAGACAGTAGGGAGTAGAAGAACCACACGCAACCTACCTAACAACTCCTCAGGAAAGAAGCACACCACAAAAAGAAAACCACTCCCCAGATTGCAACGACAGCAACTTGGAAGAACTTCTGAGCCTTCCAGAAAGAGAATTTAAAATTGCCATGATTAAAAAAGTGATAGAAGTCATAAAGGAAAACAATGATCAGAAGAAGGAAATTGAGTCCCTAAAGAGGGAAAACAATGGTCAGAAGAATGAAATTGAGTCCCTAAAGAGGGAAGCAAAAGAAATGCAGGAGATCAAAGAATTAATGGAGGAACTAAAGAACTCTGGGAAAAGCAATGAAAGCAGAATAGATGAAATGGAAGAACGAATAAGTACTCTTGAAGACACAGAAATAAAAAGAACCAAAACAGAAAAGGAAAGAGAAGTACGAAGGAAAAAGAATGAAGAAAGACTTCGGGAACTATCTGACTCCATGAGGAAAGGAAATATAAGAGTTATAGGAATTCCAGAAGGAGAGGAGAGAGATGTAGGAACAGAGAAAATATTCCAGGAGATAATTGAAGAGAACTTCCCAAATGCGAAGAAGGAGCTGAAAATTGATACACAAGAAGCAAGAAGAACACCAAACTTCCACGACGAAAGGAAAAATACAGCAAGACACATAATAGTAAAGCTCCCAAGAATCCAGGACAAGGAAAAAATAATGAAGCTGGCAAGAGGGAAGAAACAGATAACATTCAAAGGAAAACCAATCAGGCTGACATCAGACTTCTCTGAAGAAACACTACGGGCAAGGAGAGAGTGGAGGGACATAGTCAACAGACTCCAAGAAAACAGATGCCAACCAAGAATACTCTATCCCGCAAAGCTCTCCTTCCTCTTTGAAGAAAGAATATGGACCTTCCCAGACAAAGAGAAACTCCGGAATTTCATTACAACTAAACCCCCACTCCAAAAAATACTACAAGGAGTCCTAAAGCCAGAACCTCAGAGGGACGAATAACAACGAAAGAAGACCCAAAAAAAAAAAAGTTATTAAAAGAATAAATAAATAAAATCAAAGGAAAGACAAACAATGGCAAATACATATGCTAACATATCAATATTAACTCTAAATATAAATGGACTAAACTCTTCAATAAAAAGACACAGAGTTGCAGCCTGGATTAAGAAACAAAACCCAACCTTTTGCTGTCTCCAGGAAACACATTTAGCTACAAAAGATAAAAATAGGCTCAAAGTTAAAGGATGGAAAACAATCCTACAAGCAAATGGACCAAAAAAGAAAGCAGGAACAGCTGTACTTATATCAGATAAAACAGACTTCAAACTCAAAAAAATAAAAAGAGACCCCAATGGTCACTACATTATGATCAAGGGGACAATACTTCAAGAAGAAATAACACTCATTAACATATACTCACCAAACGAAGGAGCACCAAAATATATCAGACAACTGTTGTCCTCTCTGAAAACAGACATCAGAGAAAACACATACGTAGTGGGAGACTTCAACACACCACTATCAACAATGGATAGATCAACAAGACAAAAAATAAGTAAAGAAACTAAAGCTCTAAATAAGGACCTAGAGCATTTGGGCTTAACAGACATCTATAGAACACTGAACCCAAAAAAAACGGAGTACACATTTTTCTCAAGCGCACACGGATCATTCTCCAGGATCGATCACATACTGGGGCACAAGACAAACATCAACAGATACACCAAGATTGAAATCATACCAACCATCTTTTCTGACCACGAAGGCATCAAACTAGAAATAAACCATAAAAAGAAGGCAAGGAACTATTCTACCTCATGGAGATTAAAAACCACACTACTGGAAGACCACTGGACTAACGAGGAGATTAAAG